TGAAACCTGAACTATATCTAGACATTATGAATGTAACCATTTTGACAAGCATTTGAAATATCAGTTTCATGATCTGTAAATGAACAAACCTACGTCGTCTGACTGACTCAACAAATATCTATCGACATTAAACGTATAAATATGAATAAGGTCAACTGTATCAATGAACATTTAAAATGTTATTATTATTTTTTGTCCTTATGATTATTATTATTATTATTATTAATATTATTATTATTATCCTTATTATTATTATTATTATTATGTCAATTGACAAGATTCAATTCTCATTTCATTGACACAAAATTTTTTGCATTTTCAATTTTCCTATAATGCTCTTCCACTTATTGTGACTAAACTCTTTACTGCAAATAATCCCGACCTTTAATGAATGACCTTTCTAATTTGCAAATGTTACAATTTGTAAGTATATAGATATATATAGTAATAGATGTAAACGTTAACCATTGTTAACACATTACATTGTCAAATTCATTAATGCCATGCCTTATTTTTGGACGTTATAAAATATTAAAATTATGTTTAGTGTGTGGATGAAGTTAATGAAAACGATTGTTCGCTACATTTTATTTTATTTTTGAATATTCTATGACAATTTTTATTACTGCTACAATCACATTGTAGCAGTCATTAATAGTTGTATAACTGTGCAAATGAATACCTTGATATAATCAGTAGTTATGAATCACAATGAAGGCTTAGTTGACGATCAGACGTACTTCTTACGTACGCATAGTTCTGGTTTCAGGTTCTTTGAATATAAAACAAGAATATGAAATTCTTGTTTTTTGTATTCATGAAACGGATAATATGCTTATTTCTTTTAACACTTACTATATAACCTTTAATCACATGAATCATTTCAATAATGATGGTTTCAACTTGTTTTATAATGTCAGTATTTTAATCATAAATAAGTTAATTTTCTTCATTGTGTTTACTTCTCTATGAGCTTTAATCACATTCATCTTAGTAATTATATTCACTAATAAATGTTCTCATCAACTTATTGACCTAACGACAAAATTACAATTTTCACTATATTGAAATATTCCCATTAAAATGTACTATTATTAGATAGTTTACAAAAGTGTTACTAAAACATGAACATTAATCACAATATTTTAAATATAAAATTACTAGATTAGTCTTCATTAGATGACTAAATCTTGTTTAAGTTTTCTTAACCTTTATATCTAATAAACGTTAGAAACCAGTTTACGAATACATGAGCGATAATTACTTTTCCATTATTAATCTCTAAGGGATATCTAAATTCATGAGACATTAATAAGTGCTTAATCACTTGACTTTTGCCGCGGAAAAGTAGTGGATAAAAAATAATGGAAATCAAATTGTGGGTGGCCCTGAAAAGGGCCTTCACTCGTTCTCGCGGTCGGACGTCGTCACTATTAGTTTGTAATTGCGCCACAGATAGGACAGTGCACTGCTCGTACGTTCGGCAATTGGTCGTAGGCACAGAAGGTATGAAACATTGCTTCACATCTACAGAAAACCCAACCAACCGCATCACCGGTTTCACACGGAGGCTGCGCAAGATTACATATGTCGTGAACAATGAAGCCATGAAGTGAACTGCATTGTTCCTCCGACATTCGCCTGACAAACGCTATCACTGCATTCTTCATGCTTGGCTGACTCAATTGCATTGGGAAATAATTTTCAACTGCAATATGAGTCAGATAACCATCATAGTGTAACCACCTGTCACAAATTGACTGTACGTTCACATCGGTGTTACTGTGTGTGCAGTAAGCCAATATGTGACGGCATGGTATTCCGTTTTCAATGAAGAATGGACACGAGCACCGGCTAGTATCGATGTGTACGTAGTACGTCCCCGTAGCGTCTATAGCGGTGAATAAATCTTCCGACAATGCTGACTGCGTAATAGGAATACGTAGGTGTCGCTTCAGTAGTTGACAGGCAACTGGTGTTAGTCGTTCCTGAAGTCGACGTAATTCCGGTTCGTATTGTTGAGTTCAAAGAGAGTGGATGGCGGTCGAAAAGCAGTGGACCATTTGTGTTTTCGTGGTAGAAGGTGGTCTCTGACGTATCTTCCAAACGTTCCGTCAGACATTTCGATTAACGAAAGTACGTTGTTAAAACTACAAAATCATGTTATGTAGATTTTGATTTACCTTTCAACCGTTCGAGTGAACATCAGGCGAAAGAACAGTTGTACAATTTCTGATCGCACCCTCTACAATAACGGTTACTGGGTTAATGTTAATGAACCAAACACTTACCCTCTTTATCACATTCCGAACAAGGTGTACGCGACACAGAATATGGTGTGCATCCGGATACACCTGCGTAATAGCAGCAGCAATTGCAGGTGAATCATCGGTCACAATGCCTACCAGCTGTCGACTGTTGGTACACCGTTGGAGAAAACGCAGGAACGCAGAAATGAATGTCGACGTTTCGCGACTTAAAAAGGCAATGCACATGGGTATTGCCTTAAAATTCATATCCAGGGCAACGATTTGATATAAATGGACGTTCTCGTTATTCGTTTTGTACGTCCCGTCAAAACCAATTACGTCACAAAAGTGACCGGCCAAATTCAATTGCTCAGCAGTCATGAAGAAGAAATACGATAGACAGTTCTCATCGTCCAATTCGTATTCGCAAAGCCCACCCAAGGATGTTATGTGAGCTTTCAATTTCCCGTAATCACCTATAGTGTACATTATAAATTGGCAAATTGCGTACCAGGAAGGTTCGCGTGTGAGAACACTTTGTACCGCATATTACAGACATCTTGATCAGTCAGACATTTCCCATAAGATTGGTAAGCGAAATTCTTTACGTGGAATGCAGCGGTACCGGAAATCAGCAGCGGTCTCACAGTTTCAAACTCTTCATCTGTTAACCTGCGCACCCATGAATTACCTTGGTACCTCAGGGAATTGCACTCGTGATTGTGATGCACATATCCACGTACAACAGTCCAATAGCCGTCTATAATCTTACAAAACATGAAGGCCGGACATTGGGTGTTCATAGAAGCCCTTCGTTAAAAAAATTATAAAACCATTTACCAAATTACCTCCTCCGTCTAATACGTTGTGACGAACCGCTAGATATTATACGCCCATTTCGCCAACACACAAATTTAATGTACGATTTCTGATCTCTGCCAATATGCGAATCTCTCACTACATAATGACTGTAAGTCGATCTTTCAAAATTTGTTATAGTGGTCTTTAACGCTTCAACCGATGGAAACGCAACCAGAAACAAGGTAGTCAAAAAGACTTCCTCCATTTCCGTTACGTGAGAAACACCAGCGTTTGTACTCGGCACGTTAGTCTGCTCCATAATAACGATTGAAATTGTGCTTCGTCAACAAGTACTGATAATTTATAACAATTTTCAAGACATAACTAACCAATTAAATCTAATTTTTGAAACTAGCCATTTCATTGGACGAAACACGGGATGAAAAATATTGTAATTTTGGGGTGAAAATTTTTTTTTTAAAAAAATGGCCGGTCGGACAATATTATTCGAGAGTGGTCATAAAGTTGACATCAAGTCAGAATTTGTAATGTTATACAAAAACCTTTAAGGACTTATACCAAGGTTTATTGAAGCCTTGGCGATACGGAAACTAAAATCCCCTTTATCAGTTCAAAAACAATTTATCTTTACCCTTAACCTACCCTAGTAATACTGATCTATTCCAGAGTGGTTATCACTTTGTTTTTGTGTACCTTATTATTTGTTTTCTTTGTTACGACTTACCTTTAACCTGTGTAGTTAACCTTTTAATGTCTTAACAAGTATATATGTGATCAGATTGTTTGAAATGTATTGCTCAAATATATCATCATATAATTCTGATAAACTTCGTCTTGTCATAGCATTATCAAAATTTCACTAAAACCTATCACAGTACGACAATTCAAGCGAGATCCAATATTAAAATACTATAATACAATAAGAATATAGTTGTTGAATGTTTACTGTGATGGAGAAGATTTGTAGCTCAGGTGGATGATTTGGTCATGGAGCTTTCATCGTTATTCTAAACGACATCATCAGCACAAACTTCAAGTTAGAATTGAAGTGTTCAAATTTCTCCACATATGGCTCTCAGCTTTTCCTGTAGACCTCGATCTTGATTGATTACTGTTAACCTTTAACCTGTCATTGCTTACTTTATTTTGATTGTATCTTCCAATGATCGACCAATCAGAAAAATTATGGTCAACTATAAGACCAAGAAACAAGTCAATAATGGGAGATACAATAAAAAAAGAAGTACACAATGATAGTTTAAAGGTCAGTAATAATCAATCAAGATTGAGGTTTACAGGACAAGCTGAGAGTCATATGTGGAGAAATTCGAACACTTCAATTCTGTGCTGATGATGTCGTCCCGAAGAACGATGAAAGCTCCACGACCAAACCATCCAGCTTAGAGAACAAAACTCTACCAGAATGTTTAGTTATGATTTTTTTTTCTATGAAATACACTGTAATGTCAAGCCCACAAGGGTTATTCTAGCTTCCGTACCACTTGATTTATTCCCTCTTTTCAAGTCGCATTTTGACCTTGTTAATTATTGGTTTATTAACCTTGACTGTTTTTATATGAGCGTATGCATGTGCATTGCACATCCTACTCATCATACACCTGTCTAATTATAAATAATAACTCATACCTAATAAACTAGAATGGGTTTACACGCCCTCTCGGCTCAGCTTCGCTTTTCTACTCCTTATTCTGAATGTCTAGCTTCTTGGTACCACGGTCACACAAACGGGTTTAGCCTAGGCAGTATACGGAGTAAAAATGGAAGATTTATGTTCATAATATACTCATACATTCGTCCAAATCAGAGTCAGATCACTGCACCACAGAAAAATAAGCAGTTTGGCCGTCACTAAAACAGAGATCGTTTTCAAACGAATTATATATATATAAATATATATTAACAACTTACTCATTGCAGACATGAAAGAATCATGTAACTGAAATGTCATAATTGGAGTTTCTAATTGTCGAATAAAACTTTTTAATGCACCGGTTAAAACGCATAATTCATAATTTGACAAAGTCGTCTTGGATATTCCTGATGGAGCTTGAAAATTATGCATAAAAAATAAACAATAATAAAATTAGAGATGTTTTAATTTTTAGAAACAGTGACTCAACTGTATACATGAATCAGTGGTCTAGATACAGTCTAGAGTGCTGTTGAAGGAATGAGAGCGATTATCACTTACCTGTCGCCAACACTCTGGAAGGGTTCTTCTGGAGGTACCTGGAAAAAAAATGGGCTAGGGGTGGTCTTGGTGACCTGAAAGCGTGACCATAGAACTAAAGTATTTCGAAGTGTGTTGATTGATTTATAGTATACTTTTATTCTGTGTTGTTTTAAAATTCTTTGGAGTTCTTCTGTTGTACCATGATGGTATGGTAAAACTGCAGTATCAATCCATGGTATTTCATTCGAATTATTGTTATTACGTAATGAAAGGTCTTGTTTTAATATACTTCTAATACTCTTCATAGGAAAATTATTAAATTGTATTAAATGCTAATTACAATTGTTTGATCTTTTTGTTTATTCACTTCCGATGTGATAATCTTGTTTGCTCTTCTAAAAAGATTTAGGGCTAGCGAGATCTTTGCATTGAATGGATGTGCTGAATCAAAGTCAATATAACGATTAGAGTGTGTAGGTTTTCGGTAAATGGATCAATTTATAATTCCATTTCGATTTCTTTTCACTAAGCAATCTAAAAATGGTAGTTCACCGTGCTTATTTTCATTCTCGTTCGTAAATCTGATGTGCGATGAATGTGTATTGATCTGTTTTGAAAAAGATCTTAGATGAGTCCTTTTTTATGACAACAAATGTATCATCTACATATCTAAGCCAAATTCGTGGTTTAATGTCATTGGCGAAAATATTCGATCGGGGATACGGGGGATCTCATTGCTACACCGTTAGTTTGTTTGTATAAAGTTTCGTTAAAAGTAAATAGTGCAGAATTTAAGTAGAGTTTTAAGGATTTCATGATTAGACTAATGCTTAAAGGATATCTGTCAAGCAAAGTATTATCGTTCTCTAGTAAACCACGAATGAATTCTAAGCATTTATCAATAGGAATACCAGTGTATAATGGTACAACATCATAACTTGCCATGACTTCATTCTTTTCGATAATTAACTACGATATTTTTGATTTAAAGTCACAGTAATCTTTAATTATATTATGTAAGTTAAGTTGTAGTAGCTTTCATATGCCGCTCGGATACATCGATAATGCATATGTTGGTGTGTTCGTGAAGTCTACTATAGGTCTTAAAAGGGATGTCTGGTTTATGAATTCTACGTAAATCATAAAGACGTGAAACGGGATATAGAGAAAACCATAACGAGATACCAATGACTCGTTTTACTTCTTTCAAAAGTTGACTTGTCCCTGAATCGATTTGATTTTTAATCGTTAAAGACTTTTTTCGGATCGATATTTTCATATGGTTGTGTAGAGAGAGATGTTCAAGAGCTTTATTGATATAATCTATTCTATTCATGACCACTGTTGTGTTGCCTTTGTCAGCTTTTGTGATTACTATAGTTTTGTCACACACACACACACACACAAATTTACATACATGTCACTTATGAATCACTTTGACCGAAATGACATAACACTGATTTGCTCAGACCTGTTTTTTGTTGTTGATTGATCACATAAGATTCTTGTGTTGTTCCGTTGTACTAGTTGAGCTTGGTTTCATTTTGATTTGATAATTTATTTACTCTGAAGTGGTGGCTTACACTAAGTCATGAAACGTCATAAAATTTGATTTTTCTACTTAATGGGATATTGCAAATATCACGAGTCAATTGAAGCTAAACCACCATGAAAAACCTGGGAGCACTGGAGAGCCGTTTCATCCTATTGTAGGACTCCTTAACAGTGTTCATTCACGATCCCGCCCCTTGTGAGATTCGAACCCAGGACCTATCAGTCTCGCGGGCGAGCGCTTAACCACTAGACCACTGAGCTGATCGGCATGCAGCAGTGTTAATGTCTAACTTCAACCAATCTACGAAATTGCGCCACCGTCCACTATCGTCTTCCGTGAGCTATTATCTCACAACAGACCTGGTTGAACTCCACTGGTAACGGCTTCTCACTAGAACTCCAGGAGTGTCTCTTGAAGTCAGTCACTAGTGAGCAGATGATTGTTATCAGAAGGGGATTTTGAAGATTTCAGAAATTTCACTGATTGAAATCATGAGTCGATTGAAGCTAGACCACTATGGAAAACCTGGAAGCCGTCCAGTGAAATTTCTAAAATCTCCAAATAACCCCTTCTGATATTACAAATATATTAATTTATTGACAGTGTCTAGTATAACTGAAGAAGTAATGAACTATATGCCAATCCTTCAAATATCAGTAAGGTAAATAGTATACTATTAGACGATTGAATAATCCCCTTTTCATTTGCCTTGTATATGCATTAGCTATCTCTATCAATATGGAACAATATGTAAAGAAGCTTTGAGATGAGACTATGTATTAGTTGGAAAATAATCTACAAAACTCAACAGAGTGATATATTCACAGAGATTATACTATGACGTCACCAAGTGTGTTATAATCAAAGAGATATTAAATAATCTTTTCAGTAGAACTCAAATGTTTACATTATAATCGGTATCTGGATAATAGTAATCAAGTACAAATTTAAGGTCAATAAGAACCAATCAACGTCGAGGCGTACAGAACAAACTGTGGAAGACATATGGAGAAATTCGAACACTTCAACTCTATCTGAAGTTTGTGCTGATGACGTCGTCCAGAAGAACGATGAAAGCGCCACGACCAAACCATCCAGCTCAGAGAACAAAACCCCATCAAAACCAAGTACTGTTTTTTTAGTATTAAATACTGATTGACACCTATCGAGTACATTTGTAATGTAACCAAATTAATACAAGTTTACATATCCATGTTTAAAGTGGCTAATGGGATTTGACTAATCTGATTAATAGATTTAAAGTTAACTTAATCAATCGACATTCTTAGATTAATCGGTTTATAAATATTAGACTAATCATTTTTATAGCCCACATATGGTTCATGAAAAACTTAAGCCGACATTTTAGGCTGATAGAATTGAATAGTTACTATGACGAGTAATTATAACATGTGAAGAATATTGTTGTATACCACGTGACTAAAGTAATTCTCATGATTATGAATCACGTATGCTTTCTTATAATAACGGACAGGAGACACACACACACGGAGAGAGAGAGACTGACTGAGTTACCAATGAATTCAAACAAATAACACAATTAGTCAAAATTAGCAGAGATTAGAAAAGGTAAGGTACTTAGTATCTTAATTCTGCAGCAATATGGAAGACTCTCCCGGTCTCCCACATTGTACAAGCATTCCATGTACCTAAATTAATGGTCGCTCTAGTTGTTAGAAGAGGCGTCAACCTCGTGACTTCCAAAGGAAGGCATCATAACTCATCTCAATGAAAACGTTCTAACTCATAGGGCAGAGTTTAAATTATTTTTGCTGATTAGTGTTTTTTAGCGAGTTAGTTTTCAACGGTATGGGGTCGCTAACCCCATGTCCAACTCTCCTTCTTTATCTGGGCTTGGAACCGGCAGTAAGTTCAGAGGGGCTCCAGGCGAAGCGCCGGAAGTGGATAGGACAGACATTAAGGAAAGCAGCCAACTGCATCACAAGGCAAGCCCCCACTTGGGATCCTCAAGGACAAAGGAGAGGCGAAAGAACAAAGGACACAATACGCCGAGAAATGAAGGCAGACATAAGGAGAATGAACAACAACTGGATAGAAATAGAAAAAAAGGCCTAGGACAGAGTGGGTTGGAGAGTGCTGGTCGCCGGCCTATGCTCCATTGGGGGCAACAGGCGTAAGTAAGTTAGTTAGTATCTGAACATACATTTGTCATGTGAAACAGGATCAGAGTAAAGTTGAACTTATATTAACTATCCTAAAAGAAATTATTATTCGTATTTTTATTGAAAAATTATTTAACGCCTGAATTACTGGATTTTCATATGCACCTATTTAAAAGCTTTCAGTATCGGGTTGTGCAGAGATTATTAAATTTTGGGTTGAGATCATGAATCAATTGATGTTAGATCACCGTTGAAAAACTGGAAACACTGGATGGTCGTTTCGCCCTATTGTGAGACTTCTCAGCAGTGCCCATCCACGATTCTGCTCGCGGGATCAGAACCCAGGAATTTCGGTATCGCGCGCGAACACTTAACATCTAGGCCACTGCGAAGGCATCCAACGACGTTAATGTCTAACCTCAACAAATCCAAGAAATTGTGTGAACATCTTCCATTGCACTGACGTAGATACATGTCTCTACCTGACATGGATTAGCTCCACTGGTCACGGTTTCTCACTAGAACTCTGAGAATTCCCTCATGAAGCTATTCCCTAGTGCGCACAAAGTAATTACCATTGCATTTGATTCATAAACCGATGTTATCTAACTTATTATTTCAAATTTATCACTAATTAATTTTTCATTGTTGTGACATTTTTGAGTTACTTATGACTGAGTTGTTTATGTATTGTAGTTTCCTATTTGTGTTGCTGAGAAATCAGATATTTGAAATATATTATTGTATAAATTCTGAGCCATGTATAACTTCGTTTTCTGATTGTGTAATGAGGTTGGGAGGAGGAGCTCGAAAAATAATAAACGCTAAGGTCTTGGGTTATTATTCACTGACCAGTATCATTGGTAAAACAGAAAGACATCGGCGATACAGATAATATAAGTTAATAAGTCAATAAGCGAATTAGATACGACAACTGTTTTCATAATAAACGACTAGATTACATGACCAATAAAATTCAAATATTTGTCTCTTTTGAAGATACAGCAAACTTATACATGCTATGCTCAAACAGTATTAAGCGATTAGATTCACTTCACAATATCAAAAACTGCATTCACTTTTTCATTACAACTGTAGTTAAATTTCGTCCAAGATAATCGTAATCTACAGTAGATGTCTCATAATGGAACGCAAACTTGGAGTCAGTGACGTAGATGTATTCACTTTTTATCAACCTTTAAATTACAAGCTTAGCATAATCCTAAACATTATAATTATTGTTACATAATTCGTGAATTTTTAACTACACACATCAAATGAGATTTGTGTGGTGCATATGTATTTGGTGCCACCTTGTACCAATATCTATGTGTTAAAATAAATAATAATAAATTACATGCTGCTCAGGAGTCCCATACGAGGACGAAACGACCATCTAATGCTTCCAGGTTTTCAATGGTAGTCTAGCTTAGATCGACTTGTGAATTCAACTGTAAAAATATATTTCACATATCCATTTTTCACATAAATTAAAACAAGGTTTTGATTTTGATTTGATAGAATTTAAAGAACTATTCAAATATTAGGAACAATTGAACAGTAAGTTTTTTGTCTTAGTGTAGGTCACTTAAAAAAGTCCGAAACACCGACCCTGGCAAGGGTTGGATACATTACATTTTGATTTCGTACTACGCGGCATTTTCAGACCACCGAGTTGGAATATAAATGTTCCACAATCTCACGAATAATCAATTTGAGACATCATACGATGAAGACTGTGAAGCTACTTACGGTATTTTTTTTAAAGCCTCTTATATAATTGAACTTGCTCTTTTCTCATTATGTTAATGTGAAGTGTGATAAATTGAACTGATATACATTTGTGCTAATGATTGAAAAGTCGATTATGACAACAGATTTTAAAACTTACATAGAGCTTGTTTAATCAGACTGGCAACTTTAGATTTCACCCCACATGTTCTATAGATTCCTTCAACTTGAATACCTGAAAGAAAAGAAAAGATAAACTGAGAATACAATAAAATTTGTCCACAAAGTTAACTAAAACAAGTCGCGTATAAGTTAAGAGATAGTTTTTCAAAAACGTTTAGAATTGGATCTTGTGATTTACATACAAATCACCATAAATCTGCAACGACGGTCTAGAAGTATTGTATATTTACTATAGATTTATGCACCCAACAATGATTTATACAGTTTTTTGAGTATGTAGGAAAGAGAGAGGTTTAAAAATACTAGAAGTTAAGCGTTCGCACGCGAGAACGACGGTCCTAGATTCGAGTCTTTTGCACGGGATCGTGGATGCACACTGCTAAAGAGTCCGATACTAGGACGGAACTGCCGTACAATGTTTCCAGGTTTGCAACGATCGTCTAACATTGATCGGTTTATGATCTAAATTTAAAAATACTACCCGACTACTTTGATCAAGGCAGCTGAGGAGTGGTGTTCAAATATGCTACTGAATAACAGAAAGTTAGATGTTTGAAACTTAAAACCATCACTTTAAAGATACACCGCAACGAGGGATAAATACGTATGATTCGTAACTGAGATACATTAAAGTGATATATCTTCCGGGATCGTATGCACAATGATTTGTATCGAACCAACCATTTGAAGAGTAAGGGGACAAAAACATATATACCTGTCCAATAAATATGTAGATGAAGGTTAGGAAAAACCTCTTCTAATAAATTTACGATCCATCATTTTTATCCACTTTGAAAATTACTCTTCGTTTGTGTCAACCAATCCATCCTATCTCTATTTTCATTGGTTAGAAAAAAATCTATGAAAATCCTTAGAAGTTAATCTCTTTAGCTACCTCGTTATTTCAGGTGTTACTGTTGGGGGCGTTAAATCCCCAAAACTCATTTTGTAATTTTATCTTTGTGAAGCTTGTATGGAGATGTATGCTTGGGCATTTCTTACCACCCACGCATATAGTCGATTGACGAACTTATCGATTAAATGTTTAAAAACTTCCATGACAATATCGATTATATATATTTTGTATAAATACGCTTGATTTGTGTGCTTGATGGATCTGGTATCTTTTGGTTGTCTGTAGAATACACCTTCTACATCTTACCAAGACTTCTGGATCGAGTTAGCTGAGTCGGGGACAACGGATCAGTATAGCCTATCGAGTCTATGAATCTTTGATTCTTCGTTCCGTTCCGAGTAAGACGAATCAGTAGTAGTATTCAAGTTACCAATACCATATCTTCCAAGTGCTACCACCTCCTCATGACCATTTCATATTGCGACTCCAAAAACAAATCTCAAGAAATTAAAGTATAATGAGTTGAAAGGATGATCTAAAGTGTTAAGTCAATTACTTTAAACTTTCATTGATGCAAAACAGACTGATCGTAGTTAGGCAACCTTTGAAAACCAATAATAACTGAACAAATATTTCTTCCTTATTAGTGAGCGGTCGTACTTTTAACTTTTAGTAAAATGAACGATTTACAACTTCACTTTGTATATTTCATAGAAAAAGAAACTAAAGGTAATGCAACTTTTTCCGATTATTCAATGATTGAAGGATAGGTGACTAAAGTTGGCTCAATTAAATATGTCGAGTCATCGATTATTACTTTTTAGCTATATTCTCAAATAAAAACTTTAGTAATTCAATTCATACATGCTTTGGATAGGTGATGCATTTCGAAATGATTTGGCATATTATATTTGGATATCCTTTTTTTATGAATGCACGATCAAATCATCTAACTCAGAGAACAAAACTTCATCAAAATCATTCATCTGAGCTACAAATCTTCTCCACCATTTGAATATCCCTTAAACTATCAAACATTATAAGTGCAAGAATCAATCTCTTAAAAAAAAACATTAAAAATACTTTGTTTATTTCAATACAAAATCAATAATGAGATTAAAACTAAACCCTAGAGACTATTGTATATTTTCTGGTATTTTTCAAAATGTAACCGTGGTCACACTTCAACAATACTGACTATCTTACACGTAAATACCGACATTTTTTAATATTTATTTCAATATCAAACTATCTATAATTTAGATAAAGATCACATGACCACATGTCACATATAACCAACTAATTAACTAGGTATTCCTGATATTGAGTAACCTGATGCATGAACACAATGCTAATCAACATTTTCATGTCCTACACAAAAATAATAATGTCAATGTACAACATACATTGAATAGTCAATGTAAGGTCATTATAACTAAAACAAAACAAGATACTGTCTTTTCAAACAACTGATAAGAATCAAGTAAACTATTCATTAAAAATATCAATGGTTGAGATCATGAGTCAATTGAAACTAGACCATCATAGAAAACCTGTAAACACTGGACGATTATTTCGTCCTAATATGGGACTCGTCAGTAGTGCGCATCCACGATCCCGCCTCACGAGATTCGAACCCAGGACCTATACGTCTAGCGCACAAGCGCTTAACCTCTAGACCACTGAGCTAGTCGGCATCCAACGGTGTTAATGTTTAATTTCAACTAATCTATGGAATTGAGCCACCATCCACCATTGTCTTCAGTGAGTTATTATCTCACAACAGACCCGTCTGAACTCCACTGGTCACTGCTTCTCACTAGAACTCAAAGAAATACCTCTTGAAGCCAGTCACTAGTGAGTGTATTCACTAAAACAATATAAATATGTGTGAATTTAATTCGGAAGTTGTTCAACACACACTTCTTAATAAACAATAGTAGATTTAAACGAATATGGAAGAAAATTAACTGCTTACCATTTTTTTCAATTGCATGAATTAAATTGAGTAGAAATTCATAACTTTTGTCGTTTAATTGAACTGGAAAAGGAAAGGCGAAAAAAAACAACCAAAATAATAAAGAATTTACACAAAATGAAAAAGTGAGTTACTGAGCTATATGTCTAAGACAAGACTTGATGATGAGAGATAATCAGTAGAATACTATTGACCTAAGATAATGGTGGCTAGTAGTGGAATTCAGGACGCGTGTTTAATCCTATTTGGGACTCATCAGCTGGATGTACCTTCATCCCAGAGTTGATGTACTTGAAAGCAATATCGAGGCGATCCGCACAAGATGCACATATGCCAATAAGAGACTAATCAATTGTAGTCCTAAAAATCAATGGGAAGTTTCAAGCAACCAATACAAAAATGAAGTACTGTAGTGAACAGAACACGGATGGGAACAACCAAATGTATTTGACTCAAAATTACAGGACTTGTTAATGAAATCTAACAATCAAATAGTAAATACGTAATTTGCAAAATGTCTATCAATTGTCTCATAATAACTCAGACTTCATTGTTCTTGCATTTTCAAACAAATTGCATTCTGTTTCCATTCTTTACTGATCGATCCTCTTGTCTCTCTGCTGCCAGACCATCCGTTCACGAGTAACGTCATATACTACTTAAGTCAGTATAAGTAGTACACACCACAGTACTATTGACATAGGTTTTATGCTAGTTATGTAACATAAGCCAAGCACATCAGCAATATTTGAGGAAATATTGTCCAACGCTGGATTGGAACCTATGGAAATCTGTATCATCACGAATTTGAGGTGTTAGTATTCACTAACTGGCGCCATGACTTGATTTCTACAGGACTAAGACATTCACAACGAATGATCATTTGGAAATAATCACTCCTGTATCTTTATTGCTGATTGAATTTCACCGCTCAACTTTCGATTTGCCTACTAGTCCAAAGGCGATACATCAAACATAGACTACAATTTGTTAACGACAAAGAGACAAATGGCAGAACATCACTGACCTACGCATTTTATGTCTGGTGTAATTCCTCAAACAGATATTCATATTAGGCTTCCCTAATCTGCACCAATCAAGGCTTCAAATGACCAATGTCAACAAAATACAGCAGCATTGGGGATTGATATTTTACAGGTATACACCAATCATTAATAAGGGACAAAAGCGTTTAGTCTCCGTTAGCAACCTATATTTGATCTACTGACCAATTTGAGCTCTTCGACAATCAAAAGCTGACTCACAGGTTCAAGTCAATAAATGTAAACAGAACCTTTCCAAATCTAAACCTAATTTATAACTTTTGACTAGTTTTAAGGGTAGAATGACCGATTCAGTTCTTCAAGTCAACGATGGCAAATCACATGCTGTAATCATAAATAAATTTCAATTAATATCTGAATACAAGTTCTTTGAAAAAGCCGAGTAGTCGTCTCGTTTTTTGATAACCAGTTAGCAAACATAAGAATTGGAGAACATATCATTGATCAAACTGAATCAGTCACATTCATAGTGAAATTGTGATTCACTTATTAAAACAATTGATTTCTAACTACTAGACGACAAATTCCAACCTTGATTGATTCGCGATAAAATTTCATTTGAGTACGAATAAGTCAATGAGTTAAGTTGAAACACAAGGGAACAAATAATTTTTTTTAATTGAGATCATGAACCTATTAATATTAGACCACCATTGAGAACCTGGAAGTACTGGACGGTCATTTCGCCTTAATATGGGACTTCTCAGCATTGCGCGTCCACGACCCCGCAAGCGGGACTCGAACCTAGGAACGTCAGTCTCGCGTGAACGCTTAACATCCAGACTACTGAGCAAGCATTCAACAGCGTTGATGTCTAACTTCAATTAATCCACAATATTGCACAACCATTTTCTATTGTCTCACACTCGACACGGTTGAGCTCCGCTAGTCACAACATCCTACTAAAACTCCGAGACTTACGTCTCAAAGCTAATCACCATTGAACAAATGATTTTCATTCCAACATAGCACATCATTTAAATACAAAACATGAGTCGACTAACACATCTACACATAATGCTTATCTATAGTAGCTAAACTAAACACGATAAAAATCGGTTTTACTGTGAAATTGAATGTTTAAACGTTAAACTACAACAACATTTCTACATTATGGAACATACCCGAAAAAAACTAGTGAATAAACAGAACTAATTTGTTAAAAACTTTATGCAAATGTTAATTACGGATTTCACTAAGTCAGTTAACTTATTGACGATTATAGACATAAGTGTATGAATAGATAGTACAGTACAGTGACTCGACTATTAAATAATTAATAGTAATCGATTATTCATATAGTTATCAGGCGTTCGTGGAGATTTTTTAGAAATTTCACTAGTTGGAATCATAAGTCAATTGAAGCTAGACCACCATGGAAAACCTGGAAGCACTGAACGGCCGTTTCGTTCTAATGCGGAACTCATCAGCAGTGCGCATCAGCGATCCCGCACCCCGCGAGGTTCGAACCCAGGACCTATCAGTCTCACACCAGGCGCTTAACCAACTAGACCACTAAGCCGGCATTCAATGGTGTTAATGTCTAGCTTCAACCAATCCACGAAGTTGCGCCACCGTATACCATTGTCTTCAGTGAGCTGATATCCCACAACAGACCTGGTTGAACTCCATTCGCGGGGTGCAGTATCGTGGATGCGCAATACTGAGGAGTCCCATACTAAGACGAAACGGCCATCCAGTGCTTCCAGGTTTTCCCTGGTGGTCTAGCTTCAATTGACTCATGATTTCAATTTATTCATATAGTTGTATTTGACATGTGGTTCGAACCATAGACAATATGATTGAAAACTAGAATGGTTAATCACTGAGAGTTGATCCCAAAAAGTGATAAAATTCAGTAACGAATCAAAGAAATGAAGAGATGAAAGGTGAATTTTGTAAATATAAAAACTAATACTGTGATAAAGCATTGGGGAATCATGTGAGAATGGAAAGAACATCATTCAACGTTTCGAATGTGATAAAACATATATGGACATCGTAATAGTTTATTTGAACTTCATGTTCTCAGCTCTTTATAAATCCTCATGAAATCGTGACGAGTAAAGCTCAATAGTGTCGAGGATTTTATAGACATTATCAATTGGATTGAATGATTGTTGAATTACATCCTCAGTTAATTAAAGTTCGGAATACGGAAAATTGGACTCGTTATGACCTTGAATCGCTTTTTACCCCGTTGATACTTGTTATGACTTGACCTTGATCTGTCTAGTCTAAATTATGACCTAGACGCGACAGGGTGAGTGGCTTAACCTTGAGTCTATCACGCGTGAGTTCGAGATGGGGTAGAGAGATAACTATTCTAGAACCTGATTGGTTGGCAAGCACGCAAATGAGAGAAGACAAGACAGTTGGAACACTGAACTCTGGATTCTCTGAATTCGGATTAGTACAAAAATGTACATGAATAAATAAGTGAATATCTTGACCACGACATACGATAATTTGGAAAAATACAGTTATGCCCGAAACTGGGAATTAGGGTAGAAAATATGGTGCAAAATATTATGTTTAAATTACAATATTTTCGGAACAAAAAAGGGTATGGTAGTGAATGATACATAGAACGAAAGCTCATGTTATGTAGAATAAGATAGGGACAAAAATAAATATGTTTTACAGGGTTTGAATGAAATGAATTAACGTCCCAAGAAAATGGCTTTCGTAGTTGTCTGGGGCTTCTTTATTCCTCGTCCATAACAGGACTCCAAATCAATAGTCTAAAGGTAACACATTGGTCATGATACTAGATCTTTGGTACAACAACTGAACTGGTGAAGAATTCGCGCTCCTTATGAGTCTCAGCTTGGTACGTAAAAGTTGTCTGGGGCATCATGGTTTATTACTAGCACACCAACTGATTTTAATATTGACGATGGAAACTACTTACAAATTAGTCTCGAGAATGTACCTCAGCTCCATACAGTCCTATCAGAAATTTAGCTGAATATCGTTATTACCAACAACCAATCAAAGTACACTTCGAAAAAACACTTACTATTATCTGATTCATGGAGGCACACACGTCTATCTTCATAAATCTAATACAAGACAAAAGAAATAAAAAAGTACTTGAACACCGAGAGGATTTACTGACGACATCATAAAGATGATTTTTCAATGAAGTACAAACAGTATCATCCATAAAGAAATTAAAGGACTGACGGAACTAGTTTCAAAATACAGCTGTACAACTACGGGAAAAAAACTCGAATGCTTAAGAGAACATCAGAAATTGAAATATACAGAATCACAGAAGACAAGTCAGCTAACTTCGTGTTGCGAAATTATATTTCCTACAAACTTGTAAGACAGATAAATATGCAGTGGTAATTTGAGTGGAAACCTTAATATTAAATCAATGATGTTTATAAAGTATTACATCCTTCAGGTTACTAATATCAATGATAATATAAATGTTTCACCTTAACGGTACCTTCGAAGTATTGCTCATTTATTGTGTAACGAGCATTGCAGGGCAATAGATAGAGATGGCAAATTATTTGATGGGATTATGAATGCTTATCGACAGATGTAGTAAGGACATCTGTTAAGTATGCCCAACCATGGCCTCCGTCAACATGTAGTGTTGCCTGAAGTAGGAATCAGCTGGAAGAAAGCTAGGAGTAGTCAAACCAAAACACAGAATCAGTCTAGGAAGTTGTCGACTGTTAGTCTGATCCATGTTTGTAAATGCACTTTACATCAACACGGTAAAATAAAATCAACAAAGTGAAAAGCAGTATAGTCGAAATAATAGCAGTCAATCAGCGGTAAAAAATGATCACAGAAAGTACTGAATACAAAGAATACAATTTGGAAATATAGTAATACTGGAACGTGAAATTTAAGGGAAGATTTAAAAAAATGAATGCACCATCATAATCAATTCCTAACACATTAACCTTATGTCTTCAAATATCGATCACTAGTATTGTGTAGAAGTCAACTATGAAGTCTGCACCTTTCAATAAAACTAACAGTGAAGATTCAATGATCTCACAGAGTGATTTTATATGTTCCCCTACTAACTGTTAGCAATTTTCAAACCTATTATACTAGCCAGAATTACAGGTCGGGGATCGGCACCGCTAAGTAATACAACCTGAAACTATCTACTGTTTAATTTACAGGAAGCACTGAGTGCAAAAAATATTAAAATTTAATTACATGCAATTTCCACAGAAAATTCGCTTTTCATTAGAACTTTTATAAGGTATTTTTTTAAAAATTAAATAACTCACTGGCTCTTTTCCATCCATTACAAGAAGCCATTCATGAAGATCATCCAAGCATTGCGCTTGTAAGGTAAGTGGAGTAGATCTGTTAATATAAATAAAATAAAAATGATGGCAAGATACAGAACGTATAGTTACATAAGTAACACCAACAAGTATGATCGGATAAAAGTATAGTATAGCGAAGAACAAGTCAGATTTAAGATAGCGCCTTCTGAGTTTCAGAGCAAAATTTAAGATGCAGTGGGGGGGCATATTATGTATCTCATTAGAAACTAAGAAACTAAAGAAATACCTCCTCCTTACTTACTTACGACTGTTACTTTTAATGGAGCATGGGTCGGCGACCAGCATTCTCCAACCCACTCTGTCCTGGGCCTTCTTTTCTAGTTCCATCCAATTCTTGTTCATTTTTCTCATGTCTATTTCCATTTCCCGGCGTAATGTGTTCTTTGGTCTTCCTCTCCTCCATCGGCCTTGAGGATTCCATGTGAGGGCTTGTCTTGTGACACATGTAGTTGGGTGCTTTCCTCAATGTGTGTGGCCTATCCACTTCCAGCGCTTCTTGTTTCTTATTTCTTCCTCCTTTGGGATCTGGTTTGTTCTTTCCCACAGTTGGTTGTTGCTAATAGTGTCCGACCGACGGATCCGAAGTATTTTGCGTAGACAACTGCTAATAAACGCCTGTATCTTCTGGATGATGGCTTTTATAGTTCTCCACGTTTCTGCCCCATACAGTAGAACTGTCTTGACATTTGTATTGAAAATCCTGACCTTGGTGTTAGTTGACAGTTGCTTTGTGTTTCAGATGTTCTTCGATTGTGAATATGCTGCTCTTGCTTTGCCGATCCGCACTTTCACATATGCATCAGACCCTCCATGTTCATCAATGATGCTGCCCAGATATATGAAGGTTTTTACATCTTCCAAAGTCTATCCGCCAAATGTGATTTGATTGGTGCTTGTTGTGTTGTGTCGAAGAATCTTGCTTTTCCCTTTGTGTATGTTGAGACCTACTGATGCTGAGGTTGCTGATACACTGGTGGTCTTCTCCTGCATTTGTTGTTGCGATTGCGATAGGAGGGCCAGATCATCTGCGAAGTCTAGATCGTCCAGCTGCATCCTAGATGTCCACTGTATCCCGCGTTTCCCTTCAGATGTTGACGTCTTCATGATCCAGTCGATTACCAGGAGAATTATATCTTAGAGTATTTGATGTGATGCAATGTATAGTCAAGGGTATTTATGTGGATGATAAGCATTTTCCCACTCTAAACTTTATAATCTTAATTTCTAACAGAAACTCGCTTAACCCTGACTCATAACTTTGACTCAACTTATAATACTTCACCTTGACCCATTTTCTATCATTATTGTTCATGTGAAGACTGTTTATACTCTAAAACTTACTACTTCTTATTGTAAGACATTATATAACTAAACAATTTTCTAACAGGTTGATAAGTTGCTTATGGTCATCAGTATGGTAGACTTTTATCGTGATTTACAAAACAATAGAAGAGAAAAGCAAATATTTTTCCCGAGGGTAAAATTTTTTTTCATTATTCAAGACGTAACGTTTACGATTCAAAGAATGTGCATAATTGTCGTCCATTTGGCGAAGTGTACATTAACTGAACCGATATAAAACAAAAAATACACGTTTTTCGACTGATGCAGTAATTTCTGTATTTAATTACATTCCATCCTTCGTCATACAGGGATCTTAATACTCACTATACACAATGTGACCTACAAATAAGTCAATCAACATAAAACACTGAAAGGTTTAAAGACAGTAAAAATATCTCCGTGGTGTGATCCGATGAGACCCATGTAGCTTGCCGTTCTCATCCTTTTCTGCCAGTCAGTCATCCCATGATATCTTCATATCCATTGTTGTCCATTCTGACTTTGGTGTTTAGATCTCCCGTTAAGATAGTCAGGTTGTTTCCTGGGCACTTCACCATAATCGACTTCAGCCTCTCGTAGAACTGACATTTATCGTCGTCATTGCTATTATTGGTGGGTGCACGAAATTGGATGACATTCATTGTAATCCCGTCTTTCGTTTTGAAGAATGCTTTAATTATCCTGGGTTCATGAGATTCCCATCCTATAAGTGCGTTTCGAGCCTCTTTGGGAAGTATCACAGCAACTTCCTGAGTGTGCGGAGCATTCTCCTCCTCGTGAACTGAGTACAGCAGCATCTCTCCTGTACCTATCCTTAGCTATCCAGCTTGTGTCAAATTGGTTTCGCTAATTCCGAGAACCGCTAAGTTGTATCTCATCATTGCCGTAGATATCTGATTGGTCCTCCTGCTTCCTCACTTTGTCCGGATGATCCATCGGTCTCTTAACTGTCGAAGAACCTCGGCTTTTATCATGAGGCGTCATAATTTTTTCTCCAAATGCCAGGGCAGAGTTCAAATGGTTTAATTTGTTTAATCTGGTTAGCGTCTTTTTAGAAACTTTTTTTTCTACGGGATGAGGTTGTCAACCACACGCCCAACCATCTTCCTTTGTGTTGGGGCTTGAGACCGACAGTATCCCTAGAAGAGCTATTGGCAGAGTTTTTCAAAACACGGTCAATATTTTATGAAGCGCTTGAATGAAAACCCACGAATATTTAAAAATTACCTAACATGATACAAGAATTATTCATAAGTATTAAACTCAACGACAATTGTAGTTGATTTCACACAAATTTTAGATGTTTATACAGTTCTTACTGAAAATCATGCATCATATTATTTTACAAAAAGCTTTTGTAAAACCGTAACAATATATCCTTACCTTCTTGATACTTCAATATCAAAACACCAACGTCTATCAATGGAATCATTTGATCGTCTTCTACACGAGATGACATTCAATATTTCGGTATTCTTCAATGAAAGAGATTTGTTTTTTCAACAACAAAAAAATACAATCGTAAGAAGTATGCAAATGAATTTATCAAACACCAGCATATCAAAACCACCATTACAAAATCAGATATCCTTTTCTACCTTTTCTTTATTTGACTGTAGCTTTTAACATGAGGTAGTAGTCATGGTTCTATATTATGGCAACCTGATCGAGATATATTGCCCGAAACCATCGTTCGTAAGAGTTTAGCTAGACAGAAAGGTTTGTTGGAAAACAGTTAGATCACAGGCAGTAACTTAAAATCCCAGGATAAAGCTTCATTGCTAACTGTAATGAGATGCGCACCAGCAAGGTTTTAAAGTACTTAGATAACAGATTAAGTAACTGAAAAATTCTATGCGTAACTGGCCTTATATTATTATCCATGGAGCTCTACAGTCACATTTCTAAGTTTTCAAGACCACTCTTAATGCAGTTTCTTTCCCAGGTTGCATAAAGAATATGATTCACCTCGAGTAAATAAAGTGAATGTTTCACCATTCATGTGTTAAGTACATTTCACATTAGGTGAACTGTGCAGCTAGTATGTTTTCGAATTCATACTAAGTCATTTATACCACGTAACAACACAAAAGAATCTTTTGTACTAGTTTTAGGTGTTTAAAGCATTTAAAGTATTTAAAGTATTTCTCGACCTTAAGGCGGCATTCGACTCTGTTGACCGTGAGGTTCTATGGCAGTGTTTGTCATTGAAAGGAGTACCAAAGAAGTACATTAACCTTATAAAGACTCTCTACTCGAACACAACTGGTAGAGTGAGAGCTTATGGCGAACTGTCATCAGAATTGATTACATCAAGTGGTGTTCGTCAGGGCTGTCCACTCTCCCCATTCTTGTTCAACTTTGTGGTCGACGTACTTTTAGAGATAACACTCTCCTCATCTAAATTTCCAGGGGTTGAACTTCTACCGGGAGGTTCACTTGTTGACTTAGAATATGCAGATGACATAGTTTTATTTGGTGAAGACGCTGACAAAATGCAGAGTCTTCTGACCACTCTAAGCAACAATGCAAGCATGTTCGGGATGCGATTCTCTCCCTCGAAATGCAAAATGTTGCTTCAGGATTGGGTTACATCGACACCCGAACTAGTGATAGGGAGTGAAGTAGTTGAGTGTGTCGACTGCTTCACTTATCTTGGAAGTCTCATCAGCCCTTGTGGTCTGGTGTGTGACGAAATCTCAGCACGGATACAGAAGGCTCGACTAGCTTTTGCCAACTTGCGTCATTTATGGCGTAGGCGAGATATCCGTCTACCAACCAAAGGACGTGTTTACTGCGCAGCAGTTCGTTCCGTCCTACTTTATGGCTGTGAAACATGGCCGGTAAGAGTAGAGGATATTCGTAGGTTACTAGTATTTGATCATAGGTGTCTTCGAAGTATTGCTCGTATATGCTGGGACCACCGAGTAAGTAACGCAGCTGTTAGGAAACGGGTACTAGGTAAGGATGGCAAATCAATTGATGAAGTAGTGAAACTTCATCAGTTGAGATGGCTGGGACACGTGTTACGTATGCCCAACCACCGACTACCTCGACGTGCTATATTCAGTGGTATAGGAGTAGGTTGGAAGAAAGCTAGGGGCGGCCAGACCAAAACATGGCACAAATCCATGAAGTCACTGACAAGTGGACTGAGTCATGTTGGTAGGTATAGACTACCTGGTTGGGGACCGCGAGATGATAGCAACCGATGGTTAGAGACCCTGAATGACATGGCTCAAAATCGTTTGCAATGGCGCAGGTGCATCCACTCTCTATGTTCTCCCAAATTCTAATTATCTGAATTCTTCATGCCCCTTTTTTTTTCCTCTTTCCAAATTTATTTCACTGGATTATACTCGTTAAATAACATCTCCAAACCCTAATCTGCCCGATCACTGCTTATACTCTTCCTACCTCTACCACTACGGGATTTGAATCGACCACTGCATCTCTGTGCTAATGTGGTATGGCAACTCAAACTGATGTACGTACGTACTAAGTTCTACGTTGTTACTGACTGACTGAAAGCAATAAAACATTGATAGATGGACATATGTTTTGAATTTTGCGCAGAAAGCTAAAATTCATATCATGATCCTGATCGGTTCATTAAGAAAGAGTAATTTTTGTCCAAACCTCTTTTATAAACGTTAATTATCAAAATCAAACGAAATAATCAAATGAATAAACTTACATTATCATTGTCTTGATATTGAGTATAGGGTGTAAGTTTTAATATTTTACTATTACGATTATATGTACAGAAATTTTTTGTCCAAATTGTCATAACAGCTTCTATACAAGATAGAGGGTGGGGGGAAACACACAAGACAATGGCAATAGGATTTAGTAAAATAAAGTAATCATGAAAGAAGTGACCGAATAAATAATCAAAACCGAGTTCGAGTCCAGCATGCGGGATCTTGAATGAACATTACTGAGGAACCCCATGTAAGGACGAAACAATCATCCAGTTCTTCCAGGTTTTCTATGGTGGTTTAACTGAGAATGACCTGTGAATCATCTATTTATTTGCTTTGTATTTTATGGAAAATAGAACAGTTCTGAGAATGGTCAGTTGGATATGAAACAGTCGAAATAATCGATTAACCAGTTTATTTAATAAAGAAGTAAATAAATGTACAAAACAAACATTTTCTAAAGCGACTAAGAAATTTAGGTGCCTCAGGAAATTTGGAAAACATGGTTTTATGTAGAAATTGTGATTAACTACGGAGTAATTCTGTCTTTATCCATGTTACACGAAGACAGAATAACGAAACCCCTGATTTTTGTGAACCAATATGACAGACAGATAGATATAAACTGTTATACATAGTTGGCGGTAGCATTTGATTGTAGTGATAAGCACAACCATACATAGTTTTCAATCGAGGAGCTTTCATTTTATCCTGAGCTCAAACCAACAGCGGATGATTTGTTGTACTGATATGGTGTGTACTACTGATGTCGACAGATATAAGTAGTGTGTATCATCAATCGATAGTGAAATACCTGGTGGCAAAAGGTTAAGAAGATTAAAGAAAAGAGAACGAGAACAGAGAATGATTGCTGTGGAAACGAAAGAACAGTCAATTCAGAGACGATTGATTGATATTTTGCAAATGAACTATTTAATGTATGGTTCTCAGATTTTACTAAGAGATAATATAATTTTGTGTTCAAATACATTTTATTGTTCCCGCTTGTGTTCTTGTTTACTACACTCATGCCATATCTTATTATAGTCATCTCAAGACTTTCTCCAGGACATCTAGCATAGTCTATCAAAGCAGACACTGACTCAATATAGATAACACATTAACTAATTAAGTTTATCTTCACTAATTATCTTAGCACAGGGTAAACTATATTTTAATATACTTAGTTATTGATAAACTGAATGACATATCATTACAGTTATAAATTGAGAAAACTGAAAGAAATTAAAATGAACTTATGTTGTTATATGCAGATAGATTTAACATAATAACTACTTAAAGAGTGATGTAAGTAATAAATTAATTTAATTTAATCTTGTAATATGCATATTTCAATCACAGATCAATAACCCAAATGTCAACAGAACTTATTTTTCTGGATTAATTAGTGTTATAGATCAACAAAGAATCTGGAAGTACGATGCATATGATTTTTAGAATAGCGTAATGTGATACAATGATTTGATTAATATATTCAAGTGATTTTAAACACTGTTAAAGTGAACATCTATTTTTCTTTTAAAGAAACTGATTAAGATGCTTAATATGGAAATTCACAGAATATAAAATGTGAATGTTCAAAACAGAAAGTATTTCACTTTGAAGTTCAAGTTTCATGATTAAAACGGTTATTTACAAGTATTTATTCATTAGTCGTTGGTCATCGGCTACCATGGGACTGCATTTCCTAACGTTGCTCCGCAACCTTGTGGATCGGTCTTTTAGGTCAAACGGTCGGGGTCTTAAGAAAAACATCTGCTTCGGTCTGGGCACCCGAACTGTATCACATCCCACACACAAATCAAGTGACTTGTATGGCGCATATGTATTCGGTGCCTCCTTGTACCAATATTTATGTGTTCAAATAAGTAAATAATACATAACGTAGGATCGAATAGAGTTCATAGATTTCGAGAAGAGTCCCAACTTAAAATGATCCATCTAATTCATGAACGCCTATGCTTCTAAACTGTTTTCTACTCTCTAAAAATCTTTTGCTCCAGAACTACTCATGTGAAAAAAGCAAAAGTATTTATATGAAACCTTGGAATTCTAGAAGCTTCCGAAAAACATGTTAAAATCGTAAACAAATTCGATAGTAATGCACTCGAGATAATGTTAAGACAATTCATCATTTTTTTTTAAAAAAAACGCTCTTGAACGTTTCCAAAGTTAATTGATCAAAGCTTGTGCAGCATTTTCTTAGCTTCCGAATATGTTTTTGAATAATAATCGACGGTTCTCAACACAAACGTTGTCGTTTAGGAGGTTTGTCGATGAATATACACACGTTGCTTTATTAAAACCAATCCATTTAAATATATTTCTTAACCTTAGAATAGATGAACACTTCTGTATATACTAATGTCTTACAGTATTAAAATGATAGTCCAATTGAGTGAAAGAAATTATCACTGAAAGATAATTTTTCTTGGTTTTATTACAAACTTCAATGTATTTATTTATTTATTTGAACACATAGATATTGGTACAAGGAGGTACCGAATACATATGCGCCACACAAATCTCATTCGATTTGTGTGAGGGCTGGGATACAGCCCGGGTGCCCAGACCGAACCACGTGGTTTTCTTAGGGGACCACAACCCGAGCCTTTGACCTAAAGGTCTGACCCACAAGGCAGTGGAGCATCGTGAGGAAATGCAGTCCCATGGTAGCCGGTGACCAACGATTGGTTCATACGCCATTTGTTCCTTCAGGATACTGGAGCTCATGTGCACCATTGGTTTGGAATCCGGTTAAAGTGCCGGACATTCGCTTTTCATCCTCTCAATTTCGTAAACAACACCCCCGTCACGAGAAGGCAGTGAGTAGGACTTCCCTGGCAGAGGCTATATACACGTGTCCATGTGAGAGCGTTTCGAGAGGGAGAGCGGACTCCCACCCACTCTCGGTCGTACCAGGTCATTTGAAGGTGGGTTAGAAACAATAAAACAACAAAACCAACAAATGACATTAAATATATAAACCTGTTTTTTTTGTTGTTGAAAAAATCAACTAACTTACTTTTTGTAGCAACAAATACATAACCTTCACGTGTATCAGCTAAATTTGTAGATTGTATTTGTTCCCATGGTGTATTGAGTAGTTTTTCTGTTAGTGTTTTACTCTCTAAACTAATTTGTTCATAATTTTCACTAGACTAATATTGATGAGACAAAGTAAAGTAAAAAAACATAAAAAGAAAGAGAGGTGATGTAATTACAATACATTACATCAAACTAAGAATGAAAATAAACATCAAAGAGAACAGTGTCGAAGGATAAGTTTGAACAATCCTTAAAGTCACCACCGAGAACTTTATCACGTTTTTATCCAGTCATCTGAATGCAAATCGAAAAAATACAACATATATAAGCCTATATGATTATATAACACCCAATTTCTTTAACTCTTACCTACTTCAATCTACGAATCCTGGCAGTATCACAGTCCATACACAAACCCAGTGACGTGTATGTCTCATATTTATTTGGTTCTCCCTTTTTTACAATATTTATGTGTTCAAATATATAATAAATAAATAAATAAATTGTCCTTGATTATGGTTACGGTTAAGATTATTCGTTTAGTTCTAGGGAGAAAAGTAATTTGATGATGTTACGCTCGTTAAACTAGATTGTTGAATGATAGGATTGTCATTTGAGACAAATTCAGCAGGTAATTCATGCAGAAGTAAATGCCTCAATTATTCTACAAGAGTTATATCAGTTAGTTATGATGAACATGTTTATGATTAGCCGTTAGGTCATAGACTGTTACTGTCTTTACATGTCCATGTATTCTTATTGACTTTTGGCTTTATGAGACTGATTGAACTCATCTCCTATGAATGTTAACTAACTTGAATGTTACTTTTCTCGAGTTTCTTTCGGATCCTTACAGGTATTCCAATCAAATAATTAGATCATTTTAGAATTATAAGAGATTATTAACATTTACTTGATATTGTTTTTACTTTAATCTTCCCATTGATGTTTTAGGACTGTAATTGATCAGTCTCTTATTGGCATATGTGCATACTGTGCGTATGCCTCGATATTGCCTTAATTTACAAGCATCATAAGCAAAGATAGGTAGTGGCTAGCAGTGGAATCCAGGACGCGCGTTTCGTCCTATTTGGGACTCGTCAGCTGAATGTACCTGCATCTCAGAGTTGATGTTCACTCTGGAACTCGAACTCAGTAGCGCTCGCTTCAAACGCCATCGCGTTATCCACTTAGCTACTGAGTCCTGATAGCCATTTGCTTGTGCAATGGGGTGAAGTTTAATTCACTTGATATTGTTTTACATGAATCTTCCCATTGATGTTTAAGACTGCAATTGATCAGTCTTTTATCGGTACTGAGTTCGAGTCCCAGAGTGAACATCAACTCTGAGATGCAGGTGCATCCAGCTGACGAGTACCAAGAAGGACGAAACGCGCGTCCTGGATTCCACTGCTAGCCACTACCTATCTTTAATTATTAACATTGTTTATAACTGCCTTGTAAGTTCATATCAGCTCAACAAACAATGGAAATAAGAGACTAAAAAAAGCGATAGTTAAGTAATTAATCACGTTCTATTTGAAACTTTATGTACAATAAAAAGTCATTTTTAAGAGAGGAAAGCTGTTAAAAATCCACGAAGGTTGATCAAACATATATGAATACATAGCACTCAGTGTAATAGTAGATTAAATCACATCAGTTAAATTCAATCTATACGCTAGAGCCACGGTGTTTGACTTCTAGTTGTCAAATTTCATGTTTGAATGATGCCTCATACGCTTTAGTTCCAGTGACCGGGTAGAATCATTTTCCCTTATACTTAGAGTATACCTCATAACTAGGAACCTAATGAGTGAGTTAATTTATTGGATTATTACATATGTGCAATTCAGTAATATGTTACACAGTTTTTCTTTAAAATTTAAGCATTTCTTTTTCATTCAAATTTGAGTCACTTAAACAAAAATGACATCCTGGTTCACCTAAAAAGAAAAGTTATTATTTATTTATTTGAACACATGAATATTGGTACAAAAAAACACAGAATAGACATGAGCCACACAAGTCAATTGATTTGTTTATGGGTTGTGATGCAGACCGTGTACCCAGACCAAAACAGGGAGTTTTCTTAGGGGGCCATACTCGGAGCCTTTGACCTAAAGGTCTGATCCACATGGCAGTGGAGCAACGTCAGGACATGCAGTCTCATGGTAGGCGGTGACCCATGATTAGTTCATACGCCATTTGTTCTTTCAGAATACTGGAGCCAATGTGCACCATTGGTTTGAAATCAGAGTTTTCCAACTTCCCTAGGTCCAACCTCTATATCCACCAACCCCAATAAAGCGCCTGACATTCGCTTTAGTCCTCTCAGTTTCGTAAACAAAAGCGCCGCCACGAAAAGGCAGTGAGTAGGATTTCGCGGGCGGTGGCTCTATACGCGTGGCCATATGAGAGCATTTCGAGAGGAAGAGCAGACTCTCCCCATCCTCGGCCATACCAGAGCATTTGGAGGCCAAGAAAAGAATCATTCCTAATTGCTACTTTCTAGGTAACAATTGTCATTCCAAAACGTAGTTATGATACGTTTTAGTCGTATATCTATTTTCTTCAAAATGTATCCAGAGGATTGATGAATATTACGATAATAATTTTGTACTTCAAAACGTTATTATCCATTTTGGTTTGATTTTATGCTTCACATTATTAAAATCTTTGTAACAAATGTTTAATTAAGGTAATTTATGTGTCACATCTTCCTAAATAATGTACATTTCATTTTCCTATTAACTTGAGCATGCACTAGCTCTGTTATATGTCAACTTACTCCACGAAAAAACTACTCTGGATAAAATATCAGGGATTAATGTTAGTACCAATCTTTGTATTTTTGAAGAGTAGGAGATGTATCACTTATGCAGCAAGACTGAATGATGGGTACTGTACATACATGAAAATATCAACAGTTTGAGTTTAGCTCTATGAAGGATGAAATGTGTATCATCGAAGATCCAAACAAATTATAACAAGGCAGTTCGTTCCAAATTATTAAAAAAAATTGATTGCACAGACTGTGATTGCTTTCAACTATATTACGTGGAGGTTTATGACGACATCCAGGTAAGACCCCTAGTAGCTACAATATAAATTAACATGTTGACCATTTGATCAACACTCATAATTAGACAGCATTGGGTACCACTCAGTGACCAGTTGAAAAGAAATCTATCTCCGACCCGTAGTAAGTTTGTTCAACGCTAAATAGGTATGACACAACATGTGAATTTAGGTCCTACTGGATGCTTGTCTAGTAATAAGAGATAACCAGGAAGAAACCTTGGTCAATAGTCTACTACTGAGCTATCTCAATTAACATAACGATGAAACATATATTAAAAGACAATATGCTATACAATAAATTATTTCTATCTAGTAGGATACGAAAATACACAACATATACATGTACACATACACACAAAATAATAAATTATATAACAGAAAACACAGAGAGAGGGAGAGAATAGGTTCACTTACACGCTGTGCAGCCTGAAGTATCTGACTAATTTGATGTGATGAATCTTTGAATTGTTCGAAAGCTTGATAATAGAAATTTGACAACATTCTCATGATCAAACTTACCTGTATATTGATTAAGTATGAAAGAGAAAAAAATTATAAAAGAGAATGAGTGGAAATAAAGAACAATGAAAATCAAATGTCACTTACGTTAAATAATATTGAGTTTCTATTTACAAAGCCAATGAAAGCTACTTGAAACATGTGTCTTAATGATTGAAGCAGATAACTGTTAATCCCATGTGATTAGAGGTAACTGGCAATATACTGTAGACCTAGGTTTCATACTAGTTGGCATTCATAAACAAGGCACATGTGAAACCATGAAGGAATTGATATTTCTTGAATGGATGTCAGTTGACTTTACACTAACAGATCCAAATTTCTGACTCTTATCTCTACTCTGAAAAGTATTCTCGGATTTTGTACAAAATGTATGCTACAACGACGAGTTCATAAATAATGTATTTGATAAATACGTTCTAATCTATGCATCATCTCACCAATTGCAATTGTACTGAGATTGTTCTTTTCTAACAGTAATAATAAAAAATATCAGAGAGTATGATCGTTCTCCATAACTTCATCATACTCTACAGTTTTAATTTCATCGTGGATGCGCACTGCTGAGGAGTCCCACAATAGGACGAAACGCGCGTCAAACTGAATTTCACTGCTAACCACTATCCATCTTTGCTTAATATTTCAATACGTTTCTTGCTGGCAAAATATTTTATCAATTCAATTCCTTTTACACAATAGCACAAGTCACTTGTTTTCGGGTAACATTTAAAAACAGTGAATCCTTACCGAAATTAAAATTCAGAATTAGTATGCAAAACAAGCGTTTTGTTCAATCGGAGACTTATTGGTCAGATATGCTTGCGCTCCAGTGTTGATATTCATACCGAAATCAAAACCTAATACCTATCGTTTTAAATGTCGAAGCTTTATGAACTAAGTTTCCAAGACTAATTAATCCTTGACAAGTTCAGCAAGTTCAATAAGGCTGTTATTATATTCAAAACTGTATTTGAATGGTCATTGTTAACATACACTCATTGTGAGTTAATTCCTGAAAATTTACTATAATTAAAAACATTTTAAGTTACCCATCATAGCTAACAATCGAACATAGTATGAGAAAGATGGCCTCAACTTAGATGCCAACAATACCCAAAGAAGTAAAACTTAGGATTATAGACAATACCGAGGAATCCGCTCAGGATAAGCTTATGTTAACAGAGACTGAGGATAATCAATTTCAAAATCAGCAACCCTGTAAAGGTTTAAGTATTTGGTTTATAGCAAAAGAATTATCTAAGCTAGTCAGTTAGTCATATGCAATGTAGAACATGTGTACATTGGTTAAAATTGTCAAACACAATTAGCATAGAGAGATGTAATTGTCAGGACCGATCCCAGAGTAATAATAATAATAATAGTATTAGTGATAATAGAAAATATTAGGCATCCAAGATACAATTCAAGAAATATGAACTATTGGGATGAAAAAAGTCTAAAGGAGTTTAAAAACTTAGGATCTGGAGGCAAAAAACGAGGGTAAATGCACCAACACCATTGTGAGCAATTCGGAGATGCTTCACACGAAGTGTCTAATCGCCAATTTAGTCACCTAAACCCCAACCACGTAGTATGCACCTACCTACATGGCTCAGACACAGACCGGCCCTGAAGAAATATTTTATGTTTAGAGAAAGAGAGAGAGACGAAGGCATCCCTAACATGCTAACATGGTACCTTAAGACGGTCAGAAGACTATTTTGTCAACAACTTCACCAAATACAACTATATTATCTAAGTAATTGAACGAAGATTTAAAAAAGTATCAATCTATCGACCAACAATCAATATTGGTTAATTTGAGTTATCGGTGCGATGTGTGCTACTGATGTTGACAGATATAAGTAGTATATATCACCAATCGAAAGTTGAATGCCTGGAAGTAGATGGTTGAGAAGATTGAAGAGAAGAGAACGAGAACAGGGTATAATTGCTGTGGAAACATAGGAACAATGAAGTCCAAAACGATTGGCTGACATTTTTCAGAAGGAACAGACAAGTTTGAGACAATTGATGGACATGTTGCAAATGAAGCATTTACTGTATGGTTCTCAGAATTTACTAAAATGTTATGTAATTTTATATCCAAATACATTTGGCTGTCCCCACTTGTGATCTCGTTCACTATATTGGTAATAACACTACACACTTTTCTCATAGTATCAATGTTTTCAATGACTAAAACGTGTACCATAAATCATTCACATTCTAACTAAACATTACAAAATCTAATCATGTGACTTTTATCAGACCCAAATACAAAACAACAACAAAAACCGAACTGTTTTCAATACCACCATTCAATTTATTTCACATCTGATTAATTTGACTGTCCTATAATGCTACATTGGATTAAAATCGTTTATTCGCTACAGATGAAAACATGACAAAATACACAGTTAAATAGAACACAACACAAATAATAAACCTTACTTCTTTTTTGTTTCAAAGATACAAATACATGTACATATAGACGTTCAACATCATAGGTAAACACCAATAAACTGTCTCGATTGTGGCTGTAACCATGATGTGACAATCAGCCTTACCTAACGTGATTACCCAATCGAAATGTATCAACTGAAAAACCTGATACTTTAAATTCTATCATGCCAAACAAGTTGGTTGGGAAGTGGTGATATTAAAGGCGACAAACTCGCAGTATAAGGACGAAGCCGTACAACCGGCTGTTGGGTATTTCCCTTAGATAACTAGTATCCGTTGTGATCCTGTCTTTCTGAAACGGAAGGCCTTAGAAAAGGTCAGTTTTAAAAATCACACCACATCTTGCCCTAAAGCTTCCCGTCGCCGTTGCTAATGTATTATAAGGACACGTCAAGAACTACTCATAAAGTCGCTCAAGACCAATGACCTTTCTATGATATCGTCAACCAGGAAGTGACATAAACAACTCTAACAACACTCAAGATCACTTTGGATGATTGGCTTGCTGAATAATGAACTACCGACTTGTAAGCTTCGATCGAATGGTACCCATGAGGTAGTCGTGTAGGCAACCAGTCTCAGTAGCATAAAATCACGTGGATTATAATTGTGTCTTATATTGTACGGATGATATAGAGAGCAATGATTTTTTTTAAACGTCTCAAAGGCTTACTGAAAAATGTCAGCTAAAAGGAAAATTGAGTACAAAGCATTCTAATGATTTCCTACAATAACCTATCTGGTATTAATAGCTTAGTAGATAACACTTTTATGTTGAAGTGGAAGGTACTTGATTCCGATCCGAATGTTAAAACCAACATTCAGATGAAGGTACACTTAACTGACAAATCACAGATCAACTATTCTAACTAACATAAAACCGTGTATTACAAACTTATCAGTTGTACAAAACTATAGTATGGGAGTTTTGTCTAACAATAAAATTCAGTATTATAGGCCTACAACTTGTGTAGCAGTGGTATGATGGTAGTAGTCGTACAACCAAAAGTTAACAGTTTACACCAATGAATAATACCAGAGGATTTCACACAATCAAGCTATAAGTTAATTGTAGAAACATTTACTTATTAAATGACATATACGTTATGATAACGACAGTTAAACCTCAAAAGATGTCAAAATGAACACTAAAGAGATTTCCCTCCTATCATAATGAATGTTCAGCATAAATTTATATTATTTATTTATTTGAACACATAAATATTAGTACAGTGGGACAACAAATACATATGCGCCATACAAGTCAGTTGATTTATTTGTGGTCTGGGATACTGTCTGGGTGCCCAGACCGAAGCAGGTGGTTTTCTTAGGGGACCCTACACCCCGAGCCTTTGACTTAAAGGTCTGATCGACAAGGCAGTGGGGCAACATAAGGAGATGCAGTCCCATGGTAGCCGGTGACTAACAATAGGTTCATACGCCTTTTGTTCTCTCAGGATCCTGGAGCCCATGTGCACCACAGGTTTGGGATCAGGGCTTTCTAACTCCCCTAAGTGAACTGTCTGTGCATACTAAACCGGTTAAATCGCTGGACATTCGCTTTTCGTCCTCTCAATTTTGTAAAGAACAGTGCCGCAATGAGAAAGCAGTGAGTAGGACTTTCCTGTCAGTGGCTGTATGTGCGTGGTCGTGTGAGAGCATTTCAAGACGGAAAGATGACTCCCCCATTCTTGGTCGTACCAAGACATTAGTCGCTTCACAGTAATATACATTCAGTCTCCAATGTGAAATCTTTCGTTTCTATGTTAAAAGTCGATGAAAATCATGTCAAATCAGTTATAATCTTTTTGTTCCATGGCATTAAATGATATGAATTCAAAATTCAAGCAGAAAAAAATGAATCATTATAAGATTTTATGAACGACTTGGAAATTTCTAAAAAAATGTTCGTAAAAGTCAGGTAAGTAAAGCTTAACTGTTAGAGCTCTTCCAATTATATAACACTATTTACCCATCATCCAATAAATGGTTTTAATATCGAAATTCACTTGGTATTGTTTACTTGAATCTTCTCATTGTTGTTTAGGACTGCAATTGATCAGTCTCTTATTGGCATATGTGCATACTGTGCGAATTGCTTCGATATAACCTTAATTCACAAGTGTTTTAAGCAAAGGTGGATAATATCTAGCAGTGTAATCCAGGACGTGAATTTCATCCTATCTGGAACTGGTCATCTGGATGTACATACATCTGAAAGTTGATGTACACTCAGGACTCAGTAGCTAAGTGAATAATGTGATGGCATTTGAAACAAACAGTACTGGATTCAAGACCCGAAGTGAATATCAACTCTAAGATGCAAGTATATCCAGCTGACAAGTCCTAAATAGAACGAAACACGCGTCCTAGATTCCACTGCTAGTCACTATCCATCTTTGCTTATAGGTTTTAATAATGTATATATACAACAAACAGCTATATTATATACCATATAAAATATATGAAGAGCATAAATACACAGAGCATATAGAGTAGTCTTACAAATTAATTAAAGCATATTTCAATTCATTCAATCTTTAATGATTAAAAACCTGTACACATAATAAAACTAATTATAATAGCTATAATGTAATCAATGTCAGTGATACACCTAACAATGATGATAATGATAAGAATAATGATGAATGTAAATTACTCAATATTGACAATTGAATTAAAACAAACAACTATTGTATATTTCAAATAATTAGAAAGTAAAATAAAAGATGTAAGCAATGAACTTAACAATCACATTACACAGAAAACAAAAACACCAATTGAAGATTAATAGCAATAAAGAGAGTGAATGTAGTAATGAAGATTTACAAAATGTTAATCGATATAAAGTAATTGGAGTAGATGTTCTTTTACAAGAATTAGATATATAGAGTAGTATAGTAACGAATGCATAAGAAGTTATGATTAAATTTCTGTTCGACGTTGTTATTTTATGTGCAAAATTGAGTGGATAATGGATTAATGCATAAAGTGAAAATCTGAGAGCAGTGGACAGCCGTTTCTTCCTAGTATGCGACTGCTTAGCCGTGAGCATCCACGACCCCGCCTCGTGAGATTCGAAGATAGACATTAACAATGTTGAACGATCGCACAGTGGTTTAGAAGTTAAGCGTTCGCATACTAGACCGATAGGTTCTGGGTTCGAGTCTCATGAGGTGAGATCGTGGACGAAACGGCCGTTGAGTGCTTCCAGGTTTTCCACGGTGGTCTAGCTTCAAATGACTTATGAATTCAATTATTAGGCGGCTATAATACCTACAAAACCCTTCTCTGATTAAAAATTATTTAGTTCTGTTGGTTCAATAGAGGTTTACAAACGCATTTGTTATGGTAAGATAGGTAATTGAACAACCTTTTGTAGTTTAGAAACAGGGTTAACATTATGAGGAGATTTAAACGAACAACCATAATTTGATATTAACTTCATCCTCGGATTGATCAACAAAGACTTGACATGTTTATCAATCTTCATATATTTTATCAATTTTGCAGACCTTAGATAAGTAAACTTGAATTATTCGCATATATGTACACACCTACCGCCCTTTTGTATGAAATTACCTTCATTGATTCGTTTTTAATGTATTCTTCTCACCCAAAATTTGACCTAATTCAAAGGTTGAAAGGATTTGTTTAATCTATCACGTCCTTAATACTTTTCAAATAGTACTGCTTCTACTACGAATACTATTGTGATGGACACTACATATGTAGACAGACATAAGTAGTATGTAGCAGGAATGGAATGCTTACCAGCAGGAGGTTAGAACGAAGAGAACAAGAAGGAAAACATAAAGGCAATTGAAATAACAACAGGACTAGAAGAATGGTGAAGTACATAACAGACAACTCAAGGAAAATGTGTAAATGATGTATTTACTATCTGATTTTTATAGTTTATCACAAAGGCATTGTGTAATTTTGTGTAAACCAATAAATCGACTTTACCCACGAATTCTTCGTTCACTACAATAATACTTCAAGAATCTATCGGTCATTGATGTTGATTAACTTCAAATTAGCAGAACATTTAATAAACTATATGCTTATTTGAATACTAATATGATAAGTTGTAGATAACAAGGTTTTAGTGTGTAGATTTATGTAAATGAAAGAAATAATCTAAGATTTGTAATCATGAAGAGTTTATAATATAAGTTATTAATATGAATATTCCTATGATGAACACAACGATCAAGACAAATTTGATATCAGTTAATGTTCATTGATAAACCAATGTAAGTACCAGTGTTATGTGAGAACAGTCTCTGAGTGAAATGCTAAACAGTAAGGTTTCAAAAATTAAAACTGAGTGAACTGGCTTCGATGGAAATGGTTATGACATACATTACGCAAATCGTCAAACTGCATCACGAGGCAATCCCTAACTTGGAATCCTGAAGGGAAGCGGAAAAAAGGAAAGCCAAAGAACACATTACGTCGGGAAATAGAAGCAGATATGAAATAGATGAACAACTGGAAGGAGCTGGAAAGGATTGCCCAGGACAGGGTTGGATGGAGAATGCTGGTGAGTGGCCTATGCTCCTTCACGAGGAGTAACAGGCGTAAGTAAGGTAAGAACTGGCTTCGAAACTTTAAGGAAATATCAACATCTTTAAAATCTCAGGTAAGGCTTGTTGATGAATGCCAATCGCCACATGACCTAGATTTAGTACTTTTTGTATATTTACTTCAACAACTAACATTGTCTAATCACACTTAAATTACTGACCACACTGTAACTGGATCGATAGAGTTCAGTCAATCTAAATGATTACTAATCAGTAACCAATCAGTTTGAAATTGATCTCAACTTAAATTTCGAGGAATATTTGACAAGAAATTGAAAAAATCTATATATCAAAACGAAAATCTAAATGTCATCAATTCATTAAATGTTGCACAATAAAAGACCTAATTATTGTGAGTTTTCATTTGTTGTAGATCGTCCTAGTTTAATCATATCAGTGATGTTGTTCAGAAGAATGATGAAAGCTCCACAACTAAGCCATCCAGCTCAGAGAACAAAACTTCATCAAAAAACACACTCACCCTAGATACATGCACAAAATATCTTTCAGACTGACCTTTCATCACATACATATTTAATTCAAGCTGTATAGTCAATTATTTTCATAAACATACGAATTGATCATAAAAATGTATAGTATCAGTTCATTAGGCCATAAGCAAAAGGTTGACAATTAGAAGGGCGTAATTGAAAAACGTACACATAAATAAAGGCAAACATGATGAGCAGGTTAACTGAATAGTCAATATAGATGATATATGAGATAACATGACTACAGTAATAACAATAACAAATTGTTACCAAATTCAAAAAATTAACTTTGAATTGAACACTTAATTAACTACGTTTTTAATTGATCATAAATATAAAGGGACAAACGGTAGACCGACTAAATTTCAAACAAAGAATGAAGGATTCGAGACTGATTTCCAGTTCCAAAAAAGTGAATATGTATTACTCAGAAGTTTCATACCAGAATGAAATAGTTGTTCAGTGCTTTCAGATTCCCAATGATGCTTACTACTAACTTATGCCTGTTACTCCTCGTGAAGGATCATAGGCCACCCACAACCCTGTCTTCGGCAATCCTTCCCAGCTCTTTCCAGTTCTCATTCATCCTTTTCATATCTGATTCTATTTCTCGACGTAACACGTTCTCTGGCCTTCCACATTTCCTTTACTTTCAGGATTCCAAGTTTGGTGATTTCCGTAATGAATTTTCTATAAATTTCCATCGTCTTTTCTAATTTCCTCTTCAACTGGAAGCTGGCTTGTTCTCTCTCACAGTAGACTGTTGCTGATGGTATCCAGCCAATGGACATTGAGTATCTTGCGTAGACAGCTATTTATAAATACTTGTGCCTTTTTGATGATGGTTGTAAAAGTTCTTCAAGTTTCAGCTCCGTACATTCTCAATGATAGTTTAAATATATTTATTTCCTCTTATAATACTCACTTTTCTTAATATGCACCTTTTTGAAAATAAGTTCTTTTTCATTGTTGATTTATTTATGCGAAGGGCTTTTGATGAACTCCGTCCGTCGCTCTTCTAGAGTTACTGCCGGTCCCAAGTCCGTGTAAAGGAGGAGGATTGGGCATGGGGTTAGCGACCTCATCCCGTAGAAAACTAACTCGTTTAAAAAAACACTAACCAGGACATTTGCTCACTGACTTAGTCGTATTAAACCTAATTGTACTGCTTCGGAAATGAACGTCTAAACAGATAAAATTCGTTTTACTGAATACAACTGTTTGCTAACATCAGAGGTGCAATTCAGATGGTTAATTATCATAATTAAACATGTACAATAATAATACTAATAAAACAGTTATGCAACTAATGAATAACAATTTACTGTTTGAACAAATTTGGATTTTTTCAATTCATGCGCTTCATTTATATTACTGATGTATTCAAATGCCTTGGCAATATAATTTTTACGTTCTTGAAGCATTTTTGCATCATTCTATAATGTAAAATAGAACAAATAAAAAGAAAAGAAGGTTTAACTTCGGCAAATAGAAAAAAAAGAGATAGAAAGAATATAGAAAAATGAAATAAGAGAATATTTAGTGATCCAGGATCTGACTTCAAGTAGATTATATGAATGATTGTTATGAAATGGTTGCTGTCGAAATATACACCCTGACTATTGTCGTGTACATTATTATCGACCTAATCCATGTAAGTGAATATTACGTACTTACTCCTAATGGAGCATGGGCCGGCGACCAGCATTCTCCAACCCACTCTGTCCTGGGCCTTCTTTTCTAGTTCCGTCCAATTCTTGTTCATTTTTCTCATGTCTATTTCCATTTCCCGGCGTAATGTGTTTTTTGGTCTTCCTCTTCTCCTTTGGCCTTGAGGATTCCATGTGAGGGCTTGTCTTGTCATGTAGTTGGGTGCTTTCTTCGGTGTGTGTCCTATCCATCTCCAGCGCTTCTTCCTGATTTCTTCCTCTGCTGGGATCTGGTTTGTTCTTTCCCACAGTTGGAGTCCCTCCGGGAGATACTACCGCTCCCAAGCCCGGATAAAGGAGAACGGTTGGACATGCGGTTAGCGACCCCATCTCGTAGAAAACTAACTCGCTAAAAAACGCTAACTAGAAAAAATAATTCAAACTCTTTAAACTCTGTCCTGGGAGTCAGAAGGTCTTCGTTTAGAAGAGTTATGACACCTTATGATGAAAGCTGAGTTCCTTCGGGAGTCACGAGGCCGATACCCCTTCTGACAACCAGAGCAACCATTTATTTAGGTACATGGAATACTCGTAAGTGAATATACCGGTATTAAAGATAGATCAAATACGAGAATGGATTTCGAATACATATATTTTGTACAATCATTCATTGGAACAGATAATCAACGAGATGTAGCAAAGGAAGAGAAGAAGAGAGAAAAAACGAAACGGAGCGCAGCGGAAAAGGTACGTAAGTCAACTAGATTTAAACAAGCGTTAATCAATATTTATAGTCACACAAAACTAAAGAAGTAATGAATTGAGCGAAGGAATTTCTTTGCAATTTCTTTTTCACTGATCGAATGGTTTATTTATTTATTTCAACACAGATATTTGTACAAAGAGGCACCAAATAGATATGCGCCACACAAATCCCATTCGATATGTGTGAGGGCTGTGATACTGCCCGGGTGCCCAAACAGAAACAGGTGGTTTTCATAGGGGGCCACACACGGAGCCTTCGATTTGAGGGTCTGATTCACAAGGCAGTGGAGCATCGTAAGGAGATGCAGTCCCATGGAAGCCGGTGACCAACAATTGGTTCATACGCCATTTGTTCCCGCAGGATACTGGAGCCCATGTGCACCATTGGTTTGGAATCCGGTTAAAGCGCCGGACATTCGCTTTTCGTCCTCTCATTTTCGTAAACAACACCCCCGCCACGAGAAGGCAGTGAGTAGGACTTCCCTGGCAGAGGCTATATACGCGTGGTCATGTGAGAGCATTTCGAGAGGGAGAACGGACTCTCACTCTCGGCCGTACCAGGGCATTTGGGGGCCACTGATCGAGTGGAGACGTTACGTAATAGATTACATTTCAATTATAAATTAACATTCAGAACTGGAAGAGAGAGGAATAACAACAATCAAATTAATTATTCAAAAATCAAGCAGTTGCTATGTTGCATAATATATGAAAAAGAGAAGGAACGGAATATTATAATGGATGGTCAATAGAATAGTAGTTATGTAAGAATCAAGAGATCAATGTTGAGAAAAAGACAAAGTTAAAATAATAATAATAAAAAACAAATGGAAGAAGTACGAAAAATAGTTCTGCTGCAAGCACTCTTATACCGATGGTCAAGGTAGCGAAAGTGGTTGTACAAATTTCTTTTGAATGCAAAGGTTAGGTTTATGAACATGTGCAAAAGGCGCACTCGTGAACCATACGGCAAATTTGATGGAATATGGTAGATAACCTTAAAAGCTTTATTCAGTTCAACATGATGACCTGTGTCAACCAAGTGAGCAAGAATAGAACTTTTAATCACTCTTACCTGTCCTTTGCTTAACCACGATGACGAACTTGCCGAACTGTACACCCTATATAACTGGCTCTACAGGAGCAGTTGAATCGATAAATACACATGGATTTGGCGAATTCAGGTAATCTGTCTTTATTGGCCGTTCTTATTGTAGGGTGGTTGTAGAAGATACCATTTAGTCTGGCTGCATTAAATGTTTTTTGTACAGCTTTTCTTAGTCTTTCAGTCACCATCTTCCCAGTAGTGTCATTTACGAATTGTAATTTTACCAACAATACATTTTTTAGGGACGGTAGGTATCATTGTCCTTATTTTCATCTCCTTCATTTGTTTATCGATGAATTTCATAGAGTACCCATTGTTACTAAGTAAGTTACGAATATTAATTCCTCTCCAATAGAGTCATCCGAACAAATCATTCTGGCTCGATGGGTCAAGATCTTTATCTCGTTCCTTTTGTATCTGATTGGAACTGCATTATAGAAATGAGTGTATTGTCTTGTTACAGGCTTTCTGTGTACCCCTCTTTTTAAAGTTCCGTCTGCTCGTCTAATTAGTTAGACATCTAGAAATGATATGCTATTGTTCTGTTCTTCTTCTGATGTAAAATTAATTGATGGATGAACGTTATTAAATATATTAAGTCAATTATCGTTATCATGTTCTTTTTCTAATACTATGAAAGTATCGTCAATATAGCGATAATAAGTTGATAAATAGCTAATTGTACTTTTAAGTGGTCCATTTTCCAGTTTTGCAAGGAAAATGTCCGCCAGTAGAGGGCAGATTTGACAACGAATACTACAGACAACTAGATGGGGTAGCCATTCGGTCACCATTGAGAAGTTCATGTACCTAGGTAGCTGCATAAGTGTTGTTGGTGGCGAGTGATGAAATTGACTCATGTATAGTGAAAGCCAAAGCGGCTTATGCCGATCTGGGCCATCTTTGGTGCCTTCGTGATGTCGGTCTGGCTGTAAAAGGTCGGATCTACAACGCGTCGTTGAGAGCAGTTTTGCTCTATGTCTGTGAAACCTGGCCTCTTCGAGTTGAGGATGTTAGACGACTCTCTGTGCTGTCTCCGAAGGATTGCGGACATCCAGTGGCAACACCATGTTAGTAATTCAGAGGTTCGACATCAATATTTATAGTCACACAAAATAAGCTACGGACATGTGATGAGTAGGATAAGACGTACAAACAGATATGCTCATATAAGAACAGTCAAGGTTGATAAGTGAATAATTAACAAGGTTAAACTGTAGCTTGAGAAGAATGAATAAATTGGTTTGTCCGGAAGCTAGAATAAGCCATGTGGTCTCGATATACAACCAGCCACTAAGAATAGATGGGTTGTTAACCAAAGGGTTCTTATTTGAATGTTACAATGAATGAATTTAAAATGGTTCTATAAAGATCTCTAATCACAACAACAGAGGGTGAAATAGTTGATCACAAGTACAATTTAGAACTATAATCGATGGAATGTTATGAAAGTAAAATATAAGAATACATCATATATATTGAATAATAGATCATAATACGTATGTAAATAGGCCAGTTTTGATGAAAAGGTAAGTGATGAAGTAATAGTTAAATGATTATAATTTAATTTACAGAAATAACTTCTGAACTGAATGAACGAAAACAAAATTAAGTTTCTAAAAGTTAAATTAACGAGTCAATCTAAGGCAGACCACCATTTAAAACCTGAAACCACTGGACTGCCGTTTCATCATAGTATGAGACGCCTCAGCAGTGCGCATCCACGATCTCGCACGCAAACCTCGAGCCCAGGACCTTCGGTTTCGCATGTGAAACTCGTGACGGGTGGAGACATTTATCCACCGGAGAAAATGTACGAAAGGTTGCACAAGATCATGGGTGGACTGAAGTTAGACATTAACACCGTTGGATGTCGGTTCAGTGGCCCAGAGGTTAAGCGTTCACGCGCAAAACCAAAAATCCTAGGCTCGAGTCTTGCATGCAGGATCATGGATGCTCACTGCTGAGCAGTCCCGTACTAGAACGAAACGGTGGTCCAGTGCTTCCAGGTTTTTAATGATGATCTAGCTTAGGTTGACTAGTGAATTCAATTGTTAAAGTACTACAATCTCCATAAATCCTAATGATAATAGAATTAAGATTGTTTAATCATTATAAAACATTGAATAACTTACATCTTCTGTAAACTCTTTTGATTTAATTGATGCGTATTTTTCAAGGTATTGACAAAAGTTTTTAGTTTCTTTTTGAAATGCTTTTACATTAGTCTAACACAGAGCAAAAATCAAAACAATAAACCTTTATTATTTAGAAACGTAAATTATGAAATCAATTTTATGTAAATAATACACTAGGTCAATTGATGGATTGTGATTAATGGTAGATATCAGAATGAGCATTTTGTCCAGTTTGAAACTTTTCACCTGAATGTACTTGCATACCAGTGTTGATGTCTACATTGGGGTTTAAACCTAATGCTTTTTTCTTCAAAGGTACTATGCTTTATCCATTAAACTCCTGAGTCCATATAGCCACTTACATGTACATCGAGTATGATTTTCATATCCGCATAATTTCAATTTTTATTTCCGACCAGTCAGTGGTGTAAACCAACGATCTTAGATGATATTAAAACCAGAATATTCAGGTTTTTTTAGTTTGTATTTAACGTGGATTTGATCTCTGATGAAATGTAGGTTAGCACGGCTGATGAGCCTTAATAGAGTAGAGAAAAGATCTCTGTCCCATTGATCCCAGGTGTCTAATGGTTTATCATCTAAAATTAGTCAGTGACAAAATGTATCGTAAAATATTAGATCATCAAGGATCTCAAACCCTAACAGTTGATTGATCGATGAGTGGTGACTAGAGTAAATTTTTACTAATCCTCAGTGGTGATTGAATCCTATCAATAAACTTTCAATGTGGTTGGAAGTAGCCATCATGAAGTCCTCGACAGATTTTTCGTTCTACTTGACATTAACCAGGAGTGTGTACCTGCAGTCCTCAATAAACAGAGTTCGATCGACAAGAGAATTAGAGAAAAATGACGTTAGTCACTACTCAATGGCCAATCATTTCTAAATACCTCAGTTCAACGAGAGGTCAGTGGCTGCCTGAATGAATTGGTGATAACATCTCAATCCTCTTAGCATTACTAATGGTTATTTATAACGATACAATGGCAAAAAAAGTACACACTAATATTATGGTGATATTATTTACAATTAACCGCCTACACTTATCCATCTCAGTTAACATGTGACCCTGCAGAATCGCATAGTTATTTGTAAATTTATAAAAAACCATTTCCGCACCTAATTCAAAATTGAAGTTTCATTTGGATAACTAATATTTTATGGGATGAAGGTTGAATATTCAGAGGGCAATGGTAGTTGGTTTGAAATTAATTAGCTAAAGAACCCCATACTCAACCAATTATAACAACAAAGTGCTTCGGATAGGTGTGTATCAAATCAAGTTAAAACACCATATCAAGCACAGTTAAACAAAATCAGCAAAATATCTAGCGAAGATAGTGTAGTAATAGTAGTGTCGATGACAGTAGAATACTAAACATCAATAATACAGTTGTAAAAAAGTAATATGATAATGGTGTAAAATGTATGAAACTATTTTGATGGAGTTTTGTTTTCTGAGCTGGATGGTTTTACAGCTCAGAGAACAAAACTCCATCAAAATCATCCACCTGTATGAAACTATATTAACACTCAATATTTGGAGGCAGATGAGCAATGAATATACCTGAGTTAGTGAAACCATTTTCTAGCCATGTCATGCAGCGTCTGTAACCAAGGTCCAGGCAAACAGTCAATAACTCGACGCTGTGATACGACACATCTTGTTTAGCCAGACCGTAATCTTTTTCTGGTCTGTTCCTATACAATGTACTAACAGGTCTTGGCGATTTCGATCTACAAAAACCAATCCGCCATATTTACATAGTCCCTTAAGTTTAACCTCAACATTGTTTATTTGGTTATTTCAACGAAAATGAGCAATACTTTGAAGAAATCTATGACCAAGTACTGTCAACTTAAATATGTTCCTCACTTTCACAGTCAGAGTAATACAGGATGAATTGTTGTATAATATGTCTGCTCCATGTTAAGTAAATGAATAGCTCATTTACAACAACACAGATGACACAAATTAACAGAAAGTCGAACAAACTCTTCAAATCCTTCACAAAATGTTATCAGCACTGATAGTTCATGAAATGCCCAAGAAACATAATGAAGTCCAATTCACTCATTACTCTATAAAGTTTAATCGTAAAGATTTTATATACGGCCATGTGCTATATTATTCAATAAAGGATCAACCACTATCTTTGTACGAAATAATTGTATTGTTTGCATAAATAAATAAAAAACAATTAATAGTAAAAACAAACTATATTATAAACACGACCATGTAAATGAATTACGAGCTAATGATGACCAATTCATGTATAAACAATCTAAGTGATGCGAACTGTTTATCGTACAATGAACAAAACTGAAAGCTGAAATAAAGCACAGTGAGTGGATGAATGAGAGGAAGAGAGAAAGATAAGGACAAATAGATGGATGGGATTTAAACACTAATAAACACAGTACATACTAATACGAATACAAGGAAAGCTGTGAAAAAAAGAAGAAAAACGATAGAGAGCGACAAACGAAAAACCAGTACAAACAACTGATTAATGTTTGTTGTTTTTTTTCAAATTAATAAAAAGGAAACAAGCCTATACATACACAAGAACAGTAAATAAACAACTAATTCTTAGACTAATCATACATGATGGCTTAACAATGAAAAGAAAAGGTCAAACCGATGGAATGATTCATCACCATCATCATCATCATCATCATCATCATCATCATCATCATTATGATGTATAACAGAGAAAACGAGTGTTGTGTCAAGTGAAAATTTACAAAAAGTTGAATCACCGATTTGAGATTACCATCCAAAAATAAACAGTTCCATAGTATCAATAATATACTGACTATTGTAACGAATGTTTCGTTCTTCCATTCAACTCTTCAAAGGAAACACCATAACCACTCGTTGTTATAAAAAAAAATATCATGGAACTCGGCGTGTAACCAAGTAATAGAACCGATGTCCCAAACATATAAACTAATAAAGATTTATGACCATAACAAATAACTTATTATTTCTACCGGATACTTGACGTCTAACCTTACAGTATTCAGTACCACATGCTTACGAGATATACGTGATCATACACTTGCAACCTTCATATATCTTCTACTTTTATAGGTTGCGAACACAAAGTATTACAAACCAAACTAACGTGCAGTATACACATAGTCTTATTTCAGTTCATTTGCATTCATCAACATATCAACAAGAATATCATAAAATTCAATTCTAAGTATTTATAATACTCTATATATTTGATCACTTTGGATGTTACGAGCTGCAACCAACCAGTCGCTATAGACACTACTAATTGGTCATAACTTTAAAAAAAAAGGTTGGATAGTAGCTAACAGTGAAATTTAAAGTGCACATTTTGTCCAACTTGGGACTTGTCAGCTAGATGATGTACCTGGACTCCAGTATTGATTTTCAAACTGAGGCTCGAACCCAATACCTTATCGTAATTGTGTTAATACAAATATAAACACACAAACAAACATACATACATATCAGTAAATAATACTTTCAACAACAACAACAAAAAACAATGCCGATAGAGATATCAACAATAAGTGAAATTAATGACACATTACATTACGAATAGTATGATAAAGTATCAACTGAATGCACCAATGTGAATAAAGAAAAATCAATTTTCTTTCAGTGCACTTATCATCAAATTAAACAGATTTATAACGACTACTAGTGTCTCTATCTATCTATCTGTCTATATATATGTGTGCATATGAGCGTTTCACCTAGTCAAAGCAAAAACAAACATGAAATAAGATCATACAAGTCATGTGAAACAGTGACGATAGTAGAGGAAGTAGTAATAAAATCAATCAGTAATAAGAACGATGAGAATTGATTCTATCTTTAAAACGAATATTAATATATACCTAGATATTCAATCAAACTAGATAGAGACTAACAGCTTTAAGAAGAGTAAAATCAATTTGTTAGGAGTTTCGGAAATTCTTTGGAAAAGTTTTCGGAAGACGTGAAAATGTTTAAAATACTTCATTCAATCAGCGTCCAATAGAAAGCTTGAAGAGATCTAAGAAAATAAAAGATTATTTGTCATATCCTGATTAAGTAATTAACAATTTCGTTACTAATTCCAGTATATTTTCACAACCTTCTATAGTGTCAACGCTACAAAAAAACTAATCAATATCCTTGATTTCTGTACTCCCCACTATCTGCCTTCTGTTCGAGGTTCAATTCTATGAGATTTTTAAGACTATGAAGCGGTCAGATAGACAGTAACAAGTATTCAACAAGTACAAGATGCATCACAAATACAGAATCATTGGAAAATAAGAAGTAATGAATCAATCCATTAGTCATAGTGAACATAGGATGTGCATTGGTATAAGTTACCACAACTCATATAAGTATAACAGAAAGGGAGAGATGAAGGATAAAACTGAGAAAACGAATATCACCTGAGATAATAATCTCCTCATAAGAAATATGATACAAATGGAACATATGAGATCAGATCAGGTAACACTAGTCAATAACATGCATATACTAATTAATAAATTAAGTGACGAAAAACTTGAACGAAACAGCTATTCGGTAAGATTTACAGGCCTTAATTGTTTATATGAATTCTAAACAATTTTATTATGGATATTATTCTCATTCTCTCTTTATCTCTATCTAATCTATGAATTAACTGTGAAGAAGTTATATTGTACAAAATAATAATGATTAGGAAACATTTGATTATTTAACCCTTTATTAATGTAAAGGATTTATGGAGATGTTCAATTGCATACTTTATATCACAAAATAACTTTTAGTTAGAGAACGATTGAAGACCAGGAAACATTGAATAGCTGTTTCGTTAGATCGTGAAGACTCACATGTAGTATTCATTTACAGTTCTGTCACAAATCGAACTCAACAGTCTAAGGTCTTCAGGAGAGCGCTTAACCACTGAACCACTGAATCGGTATTTAATGGTCTATACTTCCAACTTCATTTAACTCATTTTATTGCAAGAGTCCCATACTAGGAAGAAAAAACTATCCAGTATATTTTTAGCTTTTTCAGTATCTTTCTAAAAAAGATCAATCCATTATGTAAACTATAAAGCGATCTATGCAAAGATGGATAATGGCTAACAGAGGAATCTAGGATGCGTGTTTCGTTCTATCTGAGACTCATCAGATGGATGTACCTGAATCTCAGAGTTGATGTTCCCTTTGGGGCTCGAAGTCAGTACCGTTCGCTTCAAACACCATCGCGTAATCTACTGGGCTACTGAGTCCTGATAGCCAAATAGAACGAAACGCGCGTTCTGGATTCTACTGCTAGTTATTATCCATCTTTGCTTAGAATGCTTGTGAATGAAGGCAGTATCGAAGTAATACGCACAGTATGCACACAATCCCAATCCTAAACAACAATGAGAAGATTCAAGTAAACATTATCGAATGAATCTATTGTTTGTTATTATAATAATGTAAACTGGAAACTTACATTTTGACCACCCAACCATAGAGAACGTAGTTCCGATAGTTCAGTTAAGACCAGCTCTTTATTGGGTTGCTATAAAGAGCAAAATAATAATAATAATAATAATAATAATAATAATAATAATAATAATAATAATAATAATAATGATAATAATAATAATAATAATAATAACAAACTTTATAGTGGTGGGATTATAATTTATAGACGACTTTTGAACGACGCTGAAGTGACCTTGAGAATGGACAGCTACTGATTAGGACTAAATGAGAATCATAGACCAGTTAGAATTAAGATTTACAGTTGGATTTCTGCCTTTAAGCTCGTACTGATACCTAAAAGAACAAGCGGTAAGGTTTCGTACCAGTCGTCGTTTTTGTGTGCTCGAAGAGCACTTTTAAGTTGACGGTGAAACCTTTCAACTAAACCATTTGAAGCTGGATGGTAGGCGGTAGTGCGTATGCGTTCCGTACCAAGCAGCCGAGTAAGTGAGGAGAATAGTGCGAACTCAAATTGTTGTCCTCGGTCAGTCGAGGGACAACCGTATAGAGCTATCCATCGTTCTACGAAGCGGTGAGCAACTGTCTCCGCCGTGATAGACGTGATGGGTATAGCTTCGGGCCATCTGGTGAAGCGGTCGATGCACGTGAGTATGTGATCATACCCATGCGATGGTGGCAGTGGTCCTACAATGTCTAAGTGAACGTGATCGAAGCGAACAACAGGCGTAGCGAAAGTGCCAAGGGGGGTGGCTACGTGCCTGTGCACTTTTGATCGTTGACATTGTAAGCATTGCTTCGCCCACATACGAACATCTCTATTCATGGACGGCCAGACGTATCGTGCAGCGATGAGACGTAATGTGGCTGTGATACCTGGGTGAGATAATCCATGCAGGGCATCGAAGACGAGACGGCGATAAGCAGAGGGTACGATGGGTCGAGGAAGACCGGTAGAAGTATCGCATAGGATGGTGCCAGAAGTCGTGGCTAGAGGTTCTTCCTGATACTGAAGGGACGTAGAGTGTGGTGCTTTGGTACAACTGGGATCGTTTGCTTGGGCAGCGGCCATAGCAGGAAGATCGAGCACCGGCAGAGTAACTGCATTCGTTTGGATTCGTGATAGAGCATCGGCAACACAGTTCGACTTGCCTTTGATGTGACGAAGGTCTGTCGTGAACTGGGAGATATAGTCCAAATGTCTGCACTCTCGTGGTGAGTAGCGGTCAGACTTGATATGCAAAGCATACGTTAAGGGCTTATGGTCGGTGAATAAGATGAATTGACGTCCTGCGTGCCGAAAGTGTTTGATGGCGCAGTAGGCTGCTAGCAGCTCGCGACCAAAAGCGCTATATCTCGTCTCCGTGGAAGTAAGGCGTCGTGAGAAAAACTCGAGGGGTTGCCAACTATCGGAGATATTTTGTTGCATGACTGCTCCTATAGCGACATCGGATGCATCAACCGCTATACTAAGCGTGGCTGATGGATCGGGATGGGCGAGAAGAGTGGCTTGCGCAAGAGCCGTTTTGATCTCTGTGAATGCAGTACGTGCAGAATCGTTCATTTCTAATCTGCGTGGGTTGCCGCGAAGTAGGTCGGTTAGTGGTCGTAACCGTTCTGCCGCGTGTGGGATGAAGCGACGGTAGAAGTTAACCAAACCGAGAAAAGCCTTCAGTTCCTTGAGTGAGGACGGAACGTTGTACTCCTTTATTGCTTGCACTTTGTCCTCACAAGGTAGAATACTCTCTTGGTTGATAACATGACCCAGAAATATTATTTCTCGTTTACCCAACTCGCATTTGTCTGGGTTAACTACTATTCCATTATCCGAAAGACGTTGGAATAATAGTGTAAGATGTTGATAATGTTCATCTACGTTTGATGATGCGATTAGCAGGTCATCAATATAAACGTGAACAAAATCTAGGTCTCGTACAATGCTATCGATAAACCTTTGAAACGTTTGAGCAGCATTCCGTAATCCAAATGGCATTCGTAGGAACTCAAACAAACCGAAAGGAGTCGTGATAGCAGTTTTTTCGATATCTCCAAGAGCGACTGGGATCTGATGATATGCTCGTACCAGATCGATCTTGGAAAAGATAGTCGTGCCCTTGAGCGATGCCATGATGTCGTGTATGTGGGGGGGGGGTAGCTATCGAAGCGCGTAACTACGTTTAGAGCTCGGTAGTCGCCTCATGGTCTCCAACTAACCCCATCTTTTTTGCGCACCACGTGAAGAGGAGAGGCCCATGGACTGTGAGAAGGACGAATAATACCAGTAGCTAGTAAATTGTCAAACTCACGCTTAGTAAAAGCTAATTTGTCCGGTGCCAGTCGGCGAGGTCGTGCCGTGACTGGCGGTCCGCGGGTGACTATGTGGTGTACCACACGATTGGTCACCGATGGAAGCTCCTCGAGTGGTTTAGTGAGTACGGGGAATTTCTCGAATAAAGCGTGGAATTTATCGTCACGCGAGTAAAAAGTGCCGAGGATTCGGTACGCGTTCATGTGGGCTTTACAGCCCATGAATTTGCTGTTCGACGAAGTATCGATTAGCTGCAGCCTACGTGAATCGACAAGCAATTCATAGTGCTGTAGGAAATCGATACCTAGTATGGCTGTGGGAACATCAGCAATGATGAACGTCCACAGATACCGCCGTCGGTTGCCCAGGTTGACCGCGAGTTGTCGTGTACCGTAGGTAGGAAAGACTGAGCCATTTGCAGTGCGTAGTCGAAGCACTGTGGCTTGTGACTTGCTGCTACCTCGTGGTACGACAGAAACTTGGGCCCCAGTGTCTACCAGGAACCTAGCGTTTGTGCGGTAACCGTGCACATAGAATAGGCGACCAACCTGGGGTGAAGGGCGGGCGAGTACGGCCACTTTTACTCGCCGACGCTGGCGTTTCCCGCCTTGTATGAGGATGGTGCTCGACAACGGCGGGCGCCAGACCCGAAGGACCTATGGAACCAGCACCAACTGTCACTCGCTTCCGAAACCGCCTTTCGGCGTGGCTTGGAAGATGCCCTTTTGGGCGAGTGGTGACGGGTTTGCGAGAACTTGAGCGAGCTCGGGGGACGTAGGGTTGGGGTACGTTACAACGGTCTCGAAAACTAAGACGCGTGTGGATACACCCGTCCCTATCGCCATGAGCTGAGGAATGACCGGCGTCCATGTCTACTTTAGGACGTGCCGTTGAAGCAACTACATAGCTGTCTCTATTACTAGTCCTCGCCAAAATTTTGTCTGCTATGAGGGCTACCTGGTTAAGCGGTGAGTCCTCGAGCAGTGCCGTCAAAGTAGGTTGGATATGAGCTGGTAGTGACTCGAGCCACAATTCCTTAACTATTTCCGAGTCAGATGCTGTTGGTCCTGCAAGGGATTACAGGCGCGTGAGGTGGTGGCTAGGTTTAGCATCACCCAGGGGTTGACGTGCTAACAATGTCCTCAATCGTTCATCCCTCGATGGGAGGAAATGTCGGAGAATCGCATCTTTGAGGCGATCATAAACATTGGGCACGTTGGAATTGAGGACGACCTCACGAACAGCAGCAGGTTTGGTTTGCTGCATTAAAGTCCCAGTTTGAGACTCGTCACGTTACGAGTCAAAGGCAAAAGTACGCCTTCGCTATCGAATCATAACCCGGGGACCATTTAGTAGCTGTTCGTGAGGTCGTCCTCAATTCCAACAGCTACTAAATGGTCCCCGGGTAATGATTCGATAGCGAAGGCGTACTTTTGCCTTTGACTCGTAACGTGACGAGTCTCAAACTGGGACTTTAATGCAGCAAACCAAACCTGCTGCTGTTCGTGAGGTCGTCCTCAATTCCAACGTGCCCAATGTTTATGATCGCCTCAAAGATGCGATTCTTCGACATTTCCTCCCATCGAGGGATGAACGATTGAGGACATTGTTAGCACGTCAACCCCTGGGTGATGCTAAACCTAGCCACCACCTCACGCGCCTGTAATCCCTTGCAGGACCAACAGCATCTGACTCGGAAATAGTTAAGGAATTGTGGCTCGAGTCACTACCAGCTCATATCCAACCTACTTTGACGGCACTGCTCGAGGACTCACCGCTTAACCAGGTAGCCCTCATAGCAGACAAAATTTTGGCGAGGACTAGTAATAGAGACAGCTATGTAGTTGCTTCAACGGCACGTCCTAAAGTAGACATGGACGCCGGTCATTCCTCAGCTCATGGCGATAGGGACGGGTGTATCCACACGCGTCTTAGTTTTCGAGACCGTTGTAACGTACCCCAACCCTACGTCCCCCGAGCTCGCTCAAGTTCTCGCAAACCCGTCACCACTCGCCCAAAAGGGCATCTTCCAAGCCACGCCGAAAGGCGGTTTCGGAAGCGAGTGACAGTTGGTGCTGGTTCCATAGGTCCTTCGGGTCTGGCGCCCGCCGTTGTCGAGCACCATCCTCATACAAGGCGGGAAACGCCAGCGTCGGCGAGTAAAAGTGGCCGTACTCGCCCGCCCTTCACCCCAGGTTGGTCGCCTATTCTATGTGCACGGTTACCGCACAAACGCTAGGTTCCTGGTAGACACTGGGGCCCAAGTTTCTGTCGTACCACGAGGTAGCAGCAAGTCACAAGCCACAGTGCTTCGACTACGCACTGCAAATGGCTCAGTCTTTCCTACCTACGGTACACGACAACTCGCGGTCAACCTGGGCAACCGACGGCGGTATCTGTGGACGTTCATCATTGCTGATGTTCCCACAGCCATACTAGGTATCGATTTCCTACAGCACTATGAATTGCTTGTCGATTCACGTAGGCTGCAGCTAATCGATACTTCGTCGAACAGCAAATTCATGGGCTGTAAAGCCCACATGAACGCGTACCGAATCCTCGGCACTTTTTACTCGCGTGACGATAAATTCCACGCTTTATTCGAGAAATTCCCCGTACTCACTAAACCACTCGAGGAGCTTCCATCGGTGACCAATCGTGTGGTACACCACATAGTCACCCGCGAACCGCCAGTCACGGCACGACCTCGCCGACTGGCACCGGACAAATTAGCTTTTACTAAGCGTGAGTTTGACAATTTACTAGCT